GCTTCCTCCTGAAGCCCTTGCTCCTCTTCCCGCCTACTGCCCGCCGCAGCTGTTGCTCACCCAGTCCTCCTCGACAGCGCTTGCCCTCTTCCTGCCGATGTCCCTCCTCCTCCTCCTCCTCCTCCTCCTCCTCCTCCTCCTCCTCCTCCTCCTCCTCCCCCCCCCCCCCTCCCTGGGGGAGGAGGGGTCGAGGGAGAGAGGGCGCAGGCCCGCCCGCCCCTGGACGAGGCCCACGGACGAGCGAGAGCACGCGAGGCGCCTGCCGGGGCCCGGGCCTCCGGGGAGAGACGGCCCCAACGCCCCTACGATGGCCCCTGTCGGTTGCAGCCCGGGGCCCCGCCGCCAGAGCGCAGCCGTTGCCCACCACCTCGGGGTCGTGCCCTGGGGCCAGGACGAGCGAGCGGCGCATCGTGGGCGTCTGCCCGCCCCCGCAGGCAGGGAAGATGCCCACACCTCACAGGACCACTCTTCGTGTGATGGGGATGTTTTGGGGGGGGTGGATTTGGTGCAGCCTTCGGTTGGCGGATGGCGTCGTGTCGGATTCGCGATCCGCCTCTCTAGCGGTCATGAAATCGGTATGTCGATCTTCTTATCTGATCCACCGCTCTCCCCAAGGGCACATGTGTAGGACTCCATCCCTCGAAGAAGAAACAAATGCATAAACATGAGCTTGTGCAGCTCCACGCGGATTCCTCAGATCGGCGTTGGGCCCCTCTGGCGTTGCCTCGGGCGCCGCCCCGGGCGCGCTCCGCCCGCTAGGGATGGGGGTTCGGCGCAGAGCCAGAGAAGTGCACGCGAAGCTCCGAAAGTTTCTGTTTATTCCGTTGTCCCTTCCTCTGCCATCCCATCTTCGGGACGTTGTCGTCGGCGTTGTGCGGGAATGCGCCGGTGTTGGGCCAGGCGCTGGTATAAAAGATGAAAGTGCAACACGCTGACATATGACGTAGATGCTCGAGTGAACATACAAGAAATCATTGGTGAGCAGCAGCCAGGCGACGAAGTTGGTACATCATCTTGCCTAGCTCAGTCAAAACCTCAGCTCTGTCACACCGTAAACTAATAAGAGCCATCTCGCAAGCAGCTCGGAGCATGTGGACACGGTCCCCGCGGTGGGCCCCCGGGGAGGGCCCAAGGCCTCGTGTGCTCCCCGAGGCTCCCCCTCCGAGCGCTAGCGATGTCGAGCAGACCTTCCCGCCCCCGTGCCAACACATAAGCGCTGGCCGACATGGTCTGCCGATTCCCACCACGTCGGGGACGACCATGATGATGATGATGATGATGATGATGATGCTGATGCTGATGCTGATGCTGATGCTGATGCTGATGCTGATGCTGATGCTGATGCTGATGTTGATGTTGATGTTGATGGATGATGGTGGTGATGATGATGGTGATGATGCTGATTATGATTATGATGATGATGGTGATGGTGATGATGCTGATGATGATGCTGATCATGACCATAGTGATGGTGACGGTGATGGTGATTGTGCTGGTGATGATGATGATGATAAAGGTGATGATGATGTTGATTTTGATGTCGCTGTTCAGTATGATGATGATGCTGACTATGATGATTATGATGATGGTGGTGATCGTCATTGTATTAGGATGAGGAGGACGAGAATGCTGATGATGATGGTGATGACGATTATGATGGTGATGCTGATACCGACGACGACGATGATTTTTATGATGAAGGTGATGATATTGATGCTCATGATGACCATGTTGATGATGAGTATGGTGATGATGCAGACCATCACTGGTATATGTTTATGGACTCGGATGGTAACTATGACTATGGTGATGGTGGTGAGATGATGTTGAAGTTGAGGAGGAGTAGGACGAGGATGATTATGCCGCTGCTGATGATGACAATGCTGATAATGATGACGATAATGATGCTGATGATGATGATGATGGTGATGATGATGGTGATGATGATGCTGATGATGATGATGATGATGATGATGATAATGGTCAGTATGATGATGACGACGATGATGGTGATGATTATGGTGATGTTGATGATGAAGATGATGATGATGATGATGTTGATGATGATGATGATGCTGATGATGATGATGATGCTGCTGCTGCTGATAATGATAATGATGATGATGATGATGATGATGATGATGATGATGATGATGATGATGATGATGATGATGATGATCACCATGATGATGAGTTTGGGGGTGGTGATGGTGGTGATGATGAAGATGAGGAGGAGGAGGCGTTCTCTCGCTCGTGATGATGCTGCGTTCTCTCCCTCTCTCCGCTGATGCACTTGGGCGCACCTTGGCACGGATGCTCGGTCGGGCCTGGGACCTGAAGCCAGGGGCGAGCTCGCTGGCTTGGCCTTCGCAGGCCCAAAAACACACGCGAGCGCTGGCCGACGCGGCCTGCCGATTTCCACCACGCCGGGGACGTCGTGGTCGGCGCTGCCCAGGAGCGCGCCCGCCTCGGCCAGGGCCGGCGCCCCTTCCATGGCCATGCGCCATGGAGGCTCCCCGCCCTCGCCGCCCCCAAGCAGCGCGCGCCGCGGGAGGGCGCACGCCCGCGCGCGCTGTCAAGCGCTCCCCCTCGGGAGCCAGGGCACGGTAGGCTTGCGTCGTGTCGACCAGCGGCGACCCCAGCGCGGGCGTTCAAGGTTGAACGCCGCCGGCGACCCAGAATCGATCGATGTTGAACGATCGGACGTTGCGGCAGCGGCCGATCGTTCAAGGTTGAACGATCCCCGCGGTGTCAGAAACCAACGCCGGGGTCGACACGACGCGAACCTGCCGCAGGCAGGCAGGCAGGCCGGAGCAGGGAGCGGGGAAGGGGCGTCCGAGCGATGGCGAGAGGCTGTGGGTATGGAGGCCTGCCCGGGGTGCCTGGGGGCAGCGCGGGTCTCGAGGGTCAGCCCGCGGCCCCGTGGAGCGGGCAGGCAGACGTCCACATCCACCGCCCCTCGGGGCGTGCCCGCTGCTCCCCAGGGGTCTCGGGGCAGCGAGGCCTCCAGAGGCTGTGGGTGTGGATGCCCGCCTCCAGCCTGCTCTTCCCCCCCCCCCCGCGCGGCCGCCCCCCTCTCGTCTCTTCACGCCTGGCAATTCGCCTTTCGGTTGCCCCGATTAGCCTTAAGTCGGGCCTGTCCCTCTACAGGAGGGGTATTCCCAAATAGCCAAAACATAGTCTGGGAACTTGTTTTCACAATGTTTGATAATTTTGGGGCTATTTTGGGATTTCCCCCAAAATCCGCCTGTAGAGGGACGTGCCCGACCTAAGATTAGCCTCGTGCTGGAGCGAGCTGCTTCTGCCTCGCCGCCGACAAGCAAAAAGTGCGGATGCCTGCCCGGGGCGCAGAGGAGGGCAGCGCGGGGCGCGAGGGCGCAGCTGAGGCCCCGAAGCACGGAGCAGTTCTGGCTCGGAGGGGGCTCCCGGTTCCCCAGGTCTTTTCCATGGTTGTTCCTCTTATGTTCCGTGTGCACCCATCAGAGCCTCGAATCGTCAGGGGTAACTCGGGTCAGGGCTAATTCGGGTTCCTTTTTCGGGAATCCGAACCCGAGTTCCCCCGGGTCCGAGTTACCCCGGATAATTCGGGCGTCCAGAGCCCCAAATCATCAGTGGTAATTCGGGTCAGGGCTAACTCGGGTTCGATTCTCGGGAATCCAGACCCGAGTTCCCTTGGGCCCGAATTGCCGCGGATAACTCGGGCGCCCAAACCCAGGCGCTCTTGGGGCCATAGCGGGGCTCGGTTTCTTATTCAGTATTCCTCGTGGTCGTGGCTTGAGTGTCAGTCCTCTGCCCCGTGGAGAGGGCGGGCAGACATCCGCATCCGCCGCCCCTCGGGGCCCCCAGGAACTCCGCAAACCGCGGATGTGAATGCCCCCAGGCGGATCAGAGGGCTCCAGAGCGTTCTGGAACGCTCTGGACCGGCTGCAGCCAGAGAGACATCTTCCAGGCCTGCTGGGTTTAGATATTCCTGCTTCACTCTTTTAGCGCGTGAAGGGCAAGGGTCTCCTGAGGGAAACGGGTCCTGGACCCCAGGCGCTTCCCCAGGGCCAGATCTTCTTCCCGAGTCGTCGCGCGTTTCGACGGCCCCAGGGCCCGCGGAGGGCCCGAGGAGCCCAGAGCGGCGAAACACTTCCAGTACACGCCAGTCGTTGAAAGTAGGTATTCGTGGATTCCCAGATCCCAACCTATTGCAAGCGCTCTCATGCTTCAAGAGCCGATCTGTTTTTGCAGTGTTTTGTTATGTTCTGGGAGGGCCTGAGAACACAATCTACTTGATTCGCTTTCCTACCTCATGCTCTTGCCTACTTCTTGCGACCGACGTGCACTTCTCTTCGGCGGCGCGCCCAGGGTGGATGGCAGAAAAGGGCGGGTTTTCCCAGAAGGCTTCACGGGCGCCCGGCCTTCTGAGAAGCGTCCTGGGTCGTTCACTGCCCTGATGCGCCCGTGTGGAAACGCAGCACGCGCCGTACTCGAGGCGTCCGTGTGACCACCTTGCGTGTTGGCTCGACGTGGTGGCCCCCGCCTTGGCGAACGTATCGCGCCAGACCCAGCTTTCCGGCCTGCGTGCTGAGTTCCGTGTCAACGCGCAACGTGTTGCGTGTTGCGTATCGGGGCAGCTGAGGGCGGGCCTGCCCAGAGGGCTTCAAGGGCCTCTGGCCTTCGGGGAAGCTTCCTGAGCTTCCCCTGAAGCCACGGAGGGTTTCCCAGAAGGCCAGAGGGCCTCCTGCGAAGCCCCGCCGCCTTCTGCGAAGGCCTGCCCCCTCACAGATCCGCGTCGTCTAAGTTTTCGGGTCATGACTCGGGTCTCTGGCGGCCGTACGGAACGGTACGGGCACCGCTGGAACGCTCTGGGCGAGGCGCAGCTGCTGGAACGCACCTTGAGGCCTGAAAGCTGCCTGGAACTGACGAAACAGCAGCTTTCTCGTGGAAATCTCCATCGGCGCGCTGGCGACCTTGTCCTCCAGTTCCCGTGTCAGTCATGCTGAATATACGCCCGATGCTGCCGTCTTTCCGCTGCCGTTTCTGGCCCACCACGCTGTGGCGCGACACGCTAACAACGTCCCTGTCCCCAACTGTGAACATCTCGAGCCTTTCCCAGCCTTCCACCCCGCGGAGCGGAGCGACACGCTATCCGCTTGCAGGGCGTCGCTGCGTAGCGTGTCGCCGGGATCGCCGCCGCGACACGCTAAGCAAAAGTTCATGACCGTACGCCCGATGCTGTTTTCTCCACGCCGATTCCTTCCGCGGGAAGGTACGCCCCGACGCTCGCACGTACTCCATCATGCTGCGCGGACTCGTCAACGCGCGCATGGCGGAGGACGCGGCAGGATCCCAGTGAGAGGAGGAGGAGGAGGAGGAGGAGGAGGAGGAGGAGGAGGAGGAGGAGGAGGACCAGTGTAAACCCAAGACGCATCAACGATGTTGCAGTAAATCCTCCATCAAATTCCCTTTTTCACAGGTCCCTAAACGAATTTACATACTTTCAGTGCGGGGAGTGCCCCATTGGAAGACAATCGTCTGAGAGTCCTCAATCGTGCCAAATCAGAAGTCTTGGGACTTCAGTGTCGCGAATCACCGTGACTGGTACGTCTTGACAGCCCCAGATCCCACCAGATCGCCATTCCCCGGATTTCAACACAGGAATCCAACGTTACCGTTTGTATCGTGACAGTGTTTATCCGTAAAGGCTTCGCCCCCTGCCGCCGGCCCCCTCCCTCGGATAGTGGGCAATACAAAAGCGAAATCATGAGGCCTGGGCGCCGCCGTGAAGCAGCGTCGGTACTTCACGCGAAGACGATGAGTAATCGGCAAGACAAATTGAGATTCTGATGGAATTGTTGAATTCGGCGTTGTACTTCGAGGGTTGATGGCTTCGGATACGTGGTTATTGCATAGGCTACAGATGCTTATGGCTTCGGGGTCGCAAATGTTGTGTAATGTACGCAGGTTGATGGCTTCGGAGACGCGAATAGTTTATGATTTACGAATGCTTATGGCTTCGGACACGCGATCACTGTGTAAATTACGAGGGTTAATGTTTTCGGTGTCGCAAATAATACGTCATTTGCGCAGGTTTGTTGTTTCGGAGACGCGAATATTGTGTAATTGACGCGGTTGCATGGCTTCGGGGACGCGAATGTTGTATGATTTACGAACGTTTGTGGCCTCGGGGACGCAAATACCGCATAATTCGCGAAGGCTTATTGCTTCGGGTGCACGCACACGGCGCATTTTGTGAAGGTTTCTGGCTTCGGGGACGCGAGTAGTGAGTCACGAATATGTATTAATTTACGCGGGTGTATCGCCTCAGGGGGCGCGAATTTGATGTATTTTTACATGTCCCCCGCCCCGCCCCAGGAATTCAGGCGACGCGACTCGGGCGTGATAACTCGGTTCCTTCTCGGCTCTCGCCCCTCGCGCGGTCCATCAACAAGGAACAGTAAGCAGCAATATGCAAAGTTGTAACAGTGGAAATTGGGAGTTGGAACTGGCGCAGGGAACAGCAATCCTTGGTCCTACAGCCTGGTGGCCCCACAAAGGGGCCGGCGGACTCGTGCCAGAACGCCGTTCCTGGGTTTTCAACCATACGAATCTTTGGAGCTGTTGTGAGCTTACGCGATGATTGTGCGCGGCTAGAGTCACATTCTTAAAATGAACCGCTCTACATGCTTGAAATTGTTGGACAATTCTAATACGCGAGAGCTTCATTTTGTAAAGGAGCCGCCATCCATCCGTGAATCTGTTGCGAGCCACAGTTTGAAAACGACTCGCCCTCCATCTTTGAATATGCGACAAACTTCAAGCTTCGGGATTTATGATGAGGACGTTCCAGGCGAAACGCCAGGCCCGCCCTATCGATACGTGTGGGGTTGCGACATGGGGGAGGTATTCTAGAAGGAAAAGAATGGAGGAGCAGGAGGAGGAGGAGGAGGAGGAGGAGGAGGAGGAGTTACGGAGTTACAGATATCAGATATTGCGACTATGTCGGTTACGGATATGCTTATAAGGAAAGGCCGTTCTTCTGGCCTTTTCAGCTCTACTGTCAGCTTTAGGCCATATCCCCCGCTCAATATTTTCCTAAGATAACCTACGCGATTACATGCAGGCCTGGCTTCGCACCTCTTTCCGAGTTGGGCCAACAGTTGGGCCGCACAACATCCACAGGTGCCGCAAAACCAGATCCCCAGCCCAGCGTGAAATTGTAACATGTGAGTTTCATCCGCCCACGCCCCACAGATGTGCACCCTGCAATAAGGGGGGCGGCCTGAACATTACGCCATGTATAGCCCTCAGGTCAAAGCATGGGGTATCCAACCAATTCTTTCGCCTAGCTTTGGTCGTAGAGCTCCTACACTTCAGACAGGAGAGCTTGCTATCAGATAACGTATGCACAGTGAACAAACCATTGCACACCACAGGAGTTGGCGGCCTGGGCCCAGGGTTCCTGATTCGGGTTCCTCGGGGTTCCTCGGTCGCCAGGGCCTGCTCAGCGTTTAAAGCTTCTGAGGTGGCCAACAACATCCCCATGCGGACGGCGAAAGCCATGCTTTCACTCGTGACAACCTTATTCCTGATGTCTGCAGGGGTGCGGACAGCTCGGGCAGCAGCTTCGGCTAGCTTGTCTGCTGCCGCGTTCCCCACAGTCAAAAACTGAGGGGCTCTGCCTTGGGCGACGTCTCGAGCCTTTTGATGCGAATGAACAAAAAGGACCGTGCAACACAGCTCTGGTTTTCTCTTAAGAACCTGCACTACCTGGTGCCACAAATCCGCGTTCTCCCCATCAGGGGCGAAAGCTCGGCCACAATACCATCCTGAACACACACTATTGTCTGTGTTAGATATCACAACCCTATCGGCGCCGATCAGCGCAGACAGGAAACTGTAAAGCTCACCCCTGGCTACAGCCTGCTGGGGCCCTGGCAAGCTCCCCCACACAGACGCCACCAGCTGCATATTCTCGGAAATGTCCGAATATTGTGCTATGCCGCAGCCTACTATACGGAGCCTGGGGTCGCTGGTAGCTTCGCCCCCACTGGCATCACCGAAAAGATAGACAGGGGCCGAAACTGAGCCGTGACCGAAACAGTTATCTTCGAAAACCCTTATGCCCTCGCTCCACCAGACAGCCTCTTCTTTTGGGGGTGGAACAAAGACCCACGCCTGCGGCAAGAGGCCGCGGTGCCAAAAACACGGCTCCACTTCATGTTGTGTGTGGGCCTTAGGGGCATATTCATTTGAGAGTCAATGTCATGGTCAACACGCTTCGAACAACTCCACATGCGGTGGAACGAAGACTCTGTCTCATTACGGCACCGGGCACATGTCTGAGATGTTGGCAATTTGGATTTCTCAGACTTGCGCTCTCGCGGCCAGGTTGCTCCTGCCGCCGCTGACAAAAGGATGCCCGACAGCTGTATGCCGTTGGGCGCCTCCTCCAATTGGCGGAGAAGTGCTCGAAACGAGAGATTGCAGATCCCTCCCTCCATGCCAGCACCATCGAAATGAGTTGCGGCTTGACGCCACAGCCTCTGCATGACTGCGCCCTCGTACTCCTGCAAGAAGGCCTTGGGTGCACCAACCTTCTCAAAGCATGTCAAAGCTTCTGGATTGAACTGCCAGTTGTGCTGGAGCTCCGACCCATCGCTCTGAACACGCCAGTCGGCTGGTCCCTCTGGCTCCCACCCCTCCTGAAGGAGATCGGCAATCACTACAGCCTGCGGCCCTCGTATGTGGCGGCTGCGCAGCTGCGGGCTCATGGACCGAAACTCCTGGGCAAGCTGCCTCCAAGTTCTCTCGATGCCGCTGCGCATCGCAGGCTGCGTGAACCATGTCCGAACCCACATCTGTAAGCACTCCCGCGGCAACCGATACGCAGGATCGCGCCCTGGGGCTCGCAAGTCCAGCAGCGTCGTGACGCGCCGCCCTGTGAGCCGAGGGCTAGATGCGTCGCACGGGAAGGTCCTCATCTGCCTGATCTTGTGGCCGAAAGCTCCATGAACCTGATGGGCGCATGCCCCCGCGGCCGCTGTACCCTGTTGCTCCAATCGTGCCGTCGGCCTGTACCTACGCGCTGTGCGCGCATACTTCACGACCTTACATACTGTGCATTCTCTGGTGGCGAGCTGCCCTCGCCGTCCTGGTCGCACGTGCGCGTCGTCGCCCTCCGCCGACATCAACGCCAAGATGCGGAGTCTGCGCGGCCGCTGTCACCGAGAAACCACCAGCTTTGATGCGCCTCACGATCTCCTTGGCATCCGCGAGCTTGGTGCAGACCACCGCGCTCTTGGGAGAAATATCGAGGCCCTCGCTCTGCATCAGCACGCGCGTCTCCTTCGAGCACACCACAAGCCGGTCACGCACAGCTCGCCTCGATCCTTTTCGCAACTTGGCTCGGATCGTCGATCCGCAGACTGCGTGGTAACTGCACATGAGCAGTCGGAATCCGCTGCATAATAATTAAAACGAAAACATGTTACCACTTTGGCGAAACGCGTGCCCGACTTCAGGCCTTGGACCACCGACCTCGTCGGGGCGAAGGCCTCTGAGTACGCGCCCGACTGTCGAAGGCGCCGCGCCGCCATGCACTGCATCAGCTCTAGCCCCAGGACCTCCGCTTGGAAATCCAGCCGCAGGGCAGTCTTGCCCAGCCTGAGCCACCCGATGGAATCGTAGAAACTGGCGGTGTCCAGCAGGCCGTGGCCATGGGCCACGCCCAGGCGCGCCGCGAGCTCCTCGTCCACCACGCGGGTGAACGCCTCCTGCAGCGCTGCATTGCCGCGGATCGCGGCATCCCACGGCGCCGCGCAATCCTCGGTCCACGAGCGCACCCAGGGTTCTCGCGCCTGGGACCAGAGCCGCGCAATGTGGGGTATCAGGCCGATGACCCTGTCGCCCGCGATTCTCTTCGGCAGCAGCGTGCCGATCGTCAAAAGCAGCTGATGTGGCCACGTCTGACAGCTCTGACACGCCGCTAGGAACACCGCCAGCTCCTCGAGCGCGCAGTCGGGGAGCCTGTCTGTGTCGAGCGCCGTGAGGCGATCGACTCCCACGCCGCGGTCTGCTTCGTGCGTCTGCCTGCCGCTCGGAGCTGCTTGCCTGACATAGGCGGGCAGGGCTCCTCCGCAACCCGAGGTCGTATATAATGGTAGGTGAAACCTGAGGTGCTTCTCGCATCGCCCGATGTAGGACCGAAACAGCACTCACAGCTGAAGCCAAGATGCCCATGATATGCCGTCCATGGGCCTGAGGGCTTGATGCCCTTGATCGGGCGCCTCCTGGCACAACTTCGCACATGATGAAAGTATGGAGGCGGAGGAGAAGAAGGAGGATCAGGAGGAGGCAGGGGAAGGCGAGGAGGAGAAGGAGGAGAAGGAGGAGAAGGAGGAGGAGGACCAGTGCAAACCCAAGACTCCTCAACGATGTTGCCATGAGCCCTCCCTCCAAGTTCCCTCTTCACAGCTCCCAACCGAATTTATTTTCATTGCGGGAAGTGGCCCATTAGAAGACAACAGTCTGAGAGCCGTCCATCGTGTCAAATCACATTCTTCGGGCTCCAAAGCCGCGGAACAACGTGACTGATGCGACCTGACAATGCTAACTCGTGCCAGGGCACTAGTCCTGGGACTTCAACACTGCCAACCTACCTTACTGCTGCGTCGTGACAGTCCTCACCCTTACCAGATCACCAGCCCTGGGACTTCGACCGTGCGAGCCCTTGGGACTGCTGCAAACTTACACGACGAATGAGTGCGGCGCCAAGGCCAGACTGCCGTTCATCTTTGAAGCTCTTGCCAGCTTTTAGCGATGAAAGTGCGCGGCGTGAAGGCGAGAGCCACATTTTGAAAAGGAGCCGCCCTCCATCCTTGAAACGGCTGCAAGCTTGTATGACGAATGAGCGCGGCGCTCAGGCGAGAGGAACGTTTTGAAAGCGACTCCTCCTCCATCCGTGAAACTGTTGCAAACCATATTTTGAAAAGGACCCGCCCTCCATGCGTGAATAAGGTGCAAAGTCCAAGCTTCGGGGTCATAGATGATGAGGAAGTCTCCAGCGAACCGCCATGCCCGCCCTACCGACACTTCTGGGGGTGCTAGAAGGAGGAGGTTTCTCTGCGCAAGGGGAAGGGATGGACGAAAAGGAGGATAATGAGAAGGGGGATGAGGAGAGAAGAGGAGGAGGAGGAGGAGGAGGAGCAGCAGCAGCAGCAGGAGGGGAGGAGAAGAGAGTAGAGAGGAGAGCAAGTTAAGCGCTTTCGTGCCATATTTGACTTCCGACCTCCCAGCCATCCTTTCTTGTTGCGTCGTTCTCTACCAGCCGACCCGTGTCATAGCGGACCTGGAATTCCAAAGAATACCCCATCATGTAGTGCGCAATCGGGAAAGGGGAATTGCGTAACTTGGAGGAGAAGGTGGCGGATCAGCAGGAGGAAAAGGAGAACACTGACGAAGGAGGAGGACGAGGACGAACAGCAGCAGCAGCAGCAGCAGCAGCAGGAGTTGGAGTAAAAGGAGCGGGAGAAGCAGGAGGAGGGGAGCGACACCGATGAGGAAAGGCTCGGGGCGAGAGCGCCATTCTGGTCGACGGGCGCAACGCCCCGATCCTAAAATGGAGCCCATGCTGCAGTGGAAACAATATTTCGAAGAACCGGAAACGACCAGATGGTGAAAACAAAAACCATAGGAAAGACCATTGCTTGGCATGTCATGTGCTGTTACATGCAAGTAACTGTACGCGAAGAGGGTGGGACACTCCCCCGCCATTTTTCTGGGATTTCTCCGGGGGAGGGAGGAGAGTAGTTTTCACGTTGAGTAATGGTGGAGGAGGGGGAGGGAAGAGGACGAGGGGAAGGAAGAGGGGGAGGAGGAGGGGGGAAGGCGATTGATGAGGAAGGCAAGCCTGGTGCGCTCCTTTCCCACTGCGCTCTTGCTTCTCTGCCCGCCGGCGCGTGTCACAACGGACCTGGAGCTCCAAAGAGGACCCCTTATCGTGCTATGCGCAAGCAGAAATGGGGAGCTGCGCACATTGCGGCGGAGGTGGCGGAGGAGCAGGAGGATGAGCAGAAGGAAGAGGGGAGGATGAGGAGGAAGGAGGGGGGCGAGGACGAATCGCAGCAGCAGGAGCTGGAATCGAAGGATTTGGAGGAACAGGACAACCAGGGGAAGGCGGATCAGGAGAAATGAGGAGGGCGACAACGACCAAAAAAAAACCGGATGCAAAACGAGGCCCATGCTGCAGCGGGAACACCATGTCGAAACACCAGGAACAGTTGGCTTGCAAAACAAGCGGAAGGCAGCTCAATGCTCGACATCTGGTGACACAAAAACAGTATCCAGAGAGGGCCAAATGCCTTCTGGACGCAGTCCGGGGAGAGAGAAGAGCAGTATTCATTTGTGCACTTGTGAAGGAGGAGGAGGAGGAGGAGGAGGAGAGGAGGAGGAGGAGGAGGAGGAGGAGAAGGAGGAGGAGCAGGAGCAGGAGCAGGAGTAGGGAGGAGCAGGAGGAGCAAGGAGGAGCAAGAGAGCAGGAGCAGGAGCAGGAGCAGGAGCAGGAGCAGGAGGAGGAGGAGCAGGAGCAGGAGCAGGAGGGGGTAAGGAGGAGGAGGAGGAGGAGGAGGAGGAGGAGGAGGAGGAGGAGGAGAGGAGGGGGAGGGGGGGAGGAGGAGGAGGAGAGGAGGAGGAGGGGAGGGGGAGGAGGGAGGGAGGAGGAGGAGGAGGAGGAGGAGGAGGAGGAGGAGGAGGAGGAGGGGGAGGAGGAGGAGCAGGAGGGGAGGAGGAGGAGGAAGGAGGAGGAGGAGGAGGAAGAGGAGGAGGAGGAGGAGGAGGAGGAGGAGGAGGATCGAGACACGGAGGAGAAGCCTACTGGACCTGTTCCAGCGGGGGAGAGGCCGTTGACCAAACTTCGAGGCTAGAGCGGGCGGTCCGCGCATCCCCCTGGGTTGGACATCCGCCCTTCACGCGCGGTCTACATGCCTCAAGGTCCTTCAGGTCGGGGTCTACCTTTCAGGGTGCTTAGGTCTCGCGAAAGTCGACATTTCAGTGTCCGCTCGGTCGGGGTTTACATTTGGGCCCCCTCCTGCGTGGGTCTACATTGTGAGACCCTCCTCGCGGGTCTACGTTGTGGGGCCGATCGCGTTTCGCGGGTCGACGGACCCGTCTATTGGGAACACCATTGGCTTGGGGAGAACCCGAACTCGTAGCCTGTGCATGGGCGATGTTAGCTAGGCCCTTTCTGCCAGCCCGTCCATTCTCCCAAACTCAGGAGTGGCGTCCCAGAGTGGGCTGGAACCCCTTCAGGGGAGGAGGTGGAGAAAGAGGAGGAGACGGAAGAGGAGGAGGAGGAGGAGGAGGTGGAGGAGGAGAGGAGGAGGAGCAGGAAGAGGAGGAGCAGGAAGAGGAAGAGGAGGAGGAGGAGTAGGAGGAGGAGGAGGAGGAGGAGGATCACTGAACCCCAATGCCACCAGTAACCCCAATGCCACCAGTGCCACTACCACGAGAGGAGAAGGAGGAGGAGGAGGAAGAGGAGGAGGAGGAGGAGGAGGAGGATGTGGAGGCAGAGGAGGAGGAGGAGGAGGAGGAGGAGGAGGAGGAGGTGGAGGAAGAGGAGGAGGAGGAGGAGGAGGAGGAGGAGGAGGAGGAGGTGGAGGTGGAGGATAACGATACATAGTAGGAGGAGGAGGAGGAGGAGGAGGAGGAGAACGAGGAGGGGGAGGAAAAGGACGAGGATGAGGAGGACGAGGAGGAGGAGGAGAACGGGTGGCGGAGGAGGAGGTGTCTGGAAGTTGTCGGCTTCATGGAGTTGTGTTAAACGTGTCAGCCTATGTTGGGCCATTTGGGGCCCTGGGGCAGGATGGACTGCGGAACTGACCAAGGATCCAGCTTTGAGTTGATTTGGATCGGGGAGGAGGAGGAGGACAGAAGAGAAGGAGGAGAGGGGGTGAAGGACGCGGCCGGATTTCAGGGACGGACACTAAGTGGGTCAGGGGAAGGAGGAAAGGGCACTCTGACCGCACGGCCCTCCCTCAGATCTGGGCGTCGTGCCACGAAGCATCCTCGACGAGCCTGTTCGTCCTGGCCCTGTGGGCCCTCGTGGATCAATGGGTTTCGGTGCGGCTGGAGAAGAATGAGATCGCGAACTCCGCTCGTAATTGCTCACGACGTGTGCAATTGTCATGGCTCGGTATTTCCTCGGGGACCCTCCCCCTCCGCCTCCCCAGCCCTCGCGCACCTGGGATGCGCGTTGGGCCAGGTTTCCCTCGATATCTCGATCACCCCCTGATTCGGTTTCTAATATACTCCTTCCTCTGCCTCCTTCCCCTCTTCCTACTCCTGCTCATCCCCTCCTTTGGATAGCCCCCTTTGAACACTCGGAAGCCCACCATCCCTGCTCCTCCCCATCCGCCCCCTCCGTGTCCTCCTCCTTCGCGTTCTCCTCCCCGCTCTCCCTCCTCATTTCTCCTCATGATGCTCCCCCTCCTCTTCCTTCTCCGCACCTCAGGCTTGGCCCGCTGCGCCTGGGGGATCAAGACCGACCACCCCGTCATCCGGAATCACGGCGGGGTGGCCGTGCTCAAGGCCGGAGGGTGGGGGAGCCGCGCGCGGAGGGCTTCGTCGGAAGTCTGCGGCGGCTTCCAGGAGGACCTCGGAGGTGTGATGCAGGTTTCGCATGGTCTTCGGGGGCGGGGCTGGAGAACGAGGAGCGAGGAGGAGCGAGGAGGATGAGGAGGAGGAGGAGGTGGAGGAGGAGGTGGAGGAAGTAGGAAGATGGGCTCGAGGAGGAGGAGGAGGAGGAGGAGGAGGAGGAGGACGGGGAGGAGGAGGAGGAGGAGGAGGAGGAGGAGGAGGAGGAGGAGGAGGAGAAGGAGGACGAGGAGCAGGAGGAGCAGGAGGGGCAGGAGGAAGTAGGAAGATGGGGAGGAGGAAGACGATGAGTAGGAAGAGCAGGAGGAGCAGGAGGAAGTAGGAAGATGGGGAGGAGGAGAAGGAGGAGGAGGATGAGGAGGAGGAGCAGGAGGAGGAGGTGGAGTTGGATGAGGAGGACGACGAGGAAGGGAGGAGGAGGAGGATTTCCAGGATTTCCGCCATCACGTAGTGATAACAAGGCTTAACGCTCGGTACTTCGGAAACAGGCCGCGTCCAATCCTATCAAGATATTCGCGCCTGGCCTTCGAGACGGGCAATTTGCACGGTTCCGCTAGCCACCTGAGCTTTGTTTAACCGTAGAACCCGCATGTGCCACGATACCACATCTGAAAGTCTTTCTGATAAATCAAGGCGTGAGTGGGATGGGTCCAACCCCCAGCCAAGTGTAAACGTCGTCCTCTTGGAACTCGGGCAATCTGACGATTTACACGAAGGAGTTGGAAGCATTGGTTTGGTCGCAGACAACACAGCTTTGGTCGCAGAGCCCCTACACACACTACACGCCCTACCACTTTCGGTCAGGGAGTGGGATGACGCGAAGCGTGCAACAGCAATAGGGGGAGGAGGAGGCGGAGGAGGACGACCAGCCCGCGCAGGGGCCCCAGCTTCCCCCGACATCTGAGAGGCCCGAATTGAGTCGAGCCCTGCTCTTAACAGCCGCCTCCGAACTAACATGGCTGTGTATTCGATGGTCATGACTCGATGACGACTGGCCTGGGAAACACGCGCGTGCGCGGCTGATTCAGCAGCAAGGACTTCAACACAAGCATTGCCAATAACGAGCCAGCTCGGGATCCCCCGAGCAAGGTATTCTCGCGGACTGAGGTGCGAAGGAACCTGCATAAGAACTATACCGGCCGGGTGTCGAGCCTGCCGCTGGAGGAGCTTGCCAACCTCTCTCCAGAGGTCGGCCTGTGGCCCCTCAGGTCTGCGGAAAAGCTCGGAGTACCACCCCCTCGAAACCTCAGCACAGTCTGTCACGTAAACGAGCACCCCAACCGTAGATCGGAGGGCCCAAAGAAAAGCTAAAAGCTCGCCCCTCGGTGCGCTCTGAGAGGCCCCAGGGAGCGGCCCCATAATGAAAGGTCCCAAATTAGGAGGGTCATAAGACCCCATCTTGGCGACAACCAGTCCTACCCTACGGAGCCTAGAGTCATGTGTGTCCTCTCCCCCCGACGCATCCCCAACAGGACCAGGGGCTCCTGAGAAGTGCCAGCACCTAGACAACCTACCTCCAGAGAGCCTCCGAGCCAGTTGCCCCCGAGAATGGCCTCTACGGAAGGAGGAGGAGGGACCGCCGTCCAGGAGGAAGGGATGAGGCCCCTCATCCAAAAACACGGGAAAGCTTCCGACTCAGAAATAGCTTGGGTGATAAGATCGTTAGAATCAGCATATGTTTTGGACACGGAGCTGGCGTTAGCCTCACAGGTCCAACATCTGTGCAAGGGTGTCTCTGGTCCTTTTCCGCACCGAAGGCAGTCGAGCTGCACAGGTTGGCCTGGAAGCTCCTCTCGCGCGTCCAGTATATAGCCGCCCGTCGCGACGGACACGAGCAGCTCCGCGAGCTGCCTGCCCTTCTTGATGTCCTGCAGGTCGTGAATCATGGACTGCAGCGATGCGAGGTCGACGCCCTCGGCGACGCCCTCGCCACAAAACTGCGTAGCTGCCACTCGCCACTGCTGAAGCTCTCGTGTCCGCTGAAACTCGTCCAGAAGAGGTCTTGCTTGATCCAGCGCCTCGAAATCGCTGCCGTGGAACAGCCATGTATGCGACGTCGAGGAGCCATCACGCGGCACTTCCCATTCAGTTGGCGAGGTCGGCGTCCACCCTGCCCCCAGTAAATACGTAATGACCGTCGTCATGGGCCCTCGAACGTGACGCACTCGTTGGCCGACTGGTAAGCTAAAAAGATGAGCCACGGCACGTGGCCACGCTCGCACAATAGCTGGCCGAATCTGAGGGTCAGACAACCACACACTCAGCCACTGAGATAGGCACTGTCGTGGAAGCAGCACACCAGGGTCGCTCCCTGGAAGCCTGAGGGCCAGTAGCGTCGTGATGCCGCGCTGCGCTTAGAATCCCGAGTAGGAGGAGGAGGAGGAGGAGAATGGAGAGGAGCTCGCGCGCCTCCCTGCTCGATGCACAGGCGAGGGCCGAGGCGAAGCTGCCCAGCATCATCATCACCAACAGTATGTCCACTCTTAGCATCAGCATCACCACCATCATCATCGTCATCATCAACATCACGATCCTTCTGCTCACCCGCATCCTCATCATCATCATCATCAGCAGCAGCAGCATCATCATCAGCATGATCAGCATCATCATCATCATCATCATCATCATCAGCAGCATCCTTACCATCACCATCATCATGTACCACAACATCAGCAGCATCATCATCACCACCACCGTCATCATCATCATCATCATCATCATCATCATCATCATCATCAGCATCATCATCATCAGCTTCAGCTTCAGCTTCAGCATCATCATCCCGATGTGTCCATCCCCTCTTATTCTTCTTCTCATTGTAGTAGTATTATTATTATCATTATTCCTGCTCCTCCTCCTCCTCCTCCTCTTCCTCCTCCTCCTCCTCCTCCTCCTTCTCCTCCTCCTCCTCCTCCTCCTCCCCCTCCTCCCCCTTCTGCCCTCCTCGCCTCCCTCCTCCTTGTCCCGCTCGCTGGCCGACCCCCGCTCCCCCCCCCCCGCCTCAGGCCCGCCGCTCGGAGCTCCCAGCCGAGCTGGCCGTCGAGGTCGTGGAGGGCTTGGGCCGGCTGGCCGGCGAGGCGACGGCGCTCTCCCCCCCTTCGCTTCCAGCTTCGTCAGCGTCGTCGCTCGAGGAGGATCCGAGGTTCGAGAGGGTCGGAGGCGGGAGGGAGGAAGGAGCGGAGGATGAGAGAGGAGGAGGGAGGAGGGAGGAGGGAAAGGAGGAGGAGGAGGAGGAGGAGGAGGAAGAACAGGAGGAGGAGGAGGATGAGAAGGAGGCGGAGGAACGGAATGAGGAGGAGCAGGAGGATGAGGGAGGGAAGAACAGGCGGAGGAAGAGGAGGAGGAGGAGGAGGAGGAGGAGGAGGAGGAGGAGGAGGAGGAGGAGGGGAGAGCAGATACGCTACAAGAGGGCACTTGGAGCCCTCCCAACTGTAACAAAGGGAGGACCGTACTGCTCCTTTTCTTTTGCATGGGTTGCGTCGAAGAACACCATTGCCCGAATCCCGACCGATCCACCAACTGAGGAGCAGGAGGAGTCTTGTGATCGGCGAGGAGGCGGCATCTCCTCGCTCCGTCGTCGAGGCCGTTGTTCGAAGATCGAGGCTCGGCCCCCGAGGAACTAGATATGGGCCGTCAGGATTGTGAGAAGTGTTGGCCTGCCCGCCGTGTGGCAGGGGACTCCATCATTCTAAGCGCCGGCCACGAAGGAGGAGGAGGAGGAGGAGGAGGATTCCAGGATGAGGACGACGGAGGGGATGGGGCTCGAGGCTCGAGGATCGAGGATGAGGTGTTTCGACGCTCTTGCCTTGTTGGGTCTCCCAGATCCCAGGGGCCTCCCGAGGTCTCCAGAGCGTTCTCGTCGCGGACGTCGTCATCGACATCGTGGATGTCGTCGACGTCGTCGTCGTGGGTGTCGTTGTCGACATCGCGGACGTCGTCGTCGTCGTCGTCGTCGTTGTCATCGTCGTCGTCGTCACTCTTCCTCCTTTACGTCCTTCTCCTCCTCCTCCTCCTCCTTCTCCTCCTCCTCGTCTCCCTCATCCTGCCGTGCCGCCTCTTCCCCCTTCACCCTCCTCCCCTGACCCTCCATCCTCTTCTCCGTATTCCATTTACTCCACTTGTCCTCATCTTTACCCTTATCCTACGCAGCCGCAGCGTCATCGTCAGAACCCCTTTTCAGTCTGATGTTATTCCTCCCCCACCCCGTCTACGCACGTTGCTCCGTATCTCTCTTGTCCACCTCCCCGTCGTCTTCCTCCTCCTTTATCTTCTCCTTTTCAATCCTGCACTTCCTCATCCTACCCTCCTCTTCATCTTCCCCCATGTCGAGCAGGAGGAGGGGTGGGTGCAGAGGACTGAGACGAGAGGGAGTTCTAGAGTGTCCTGGGTCCTGGGCAGGAGGGGCAGGATAAGTTGGAGTTTTAGAGGGTCCTGGCAGATCATGGAGGATCTATGGAGTCCTGGGGTGGGATGAGGAGGAAGAGGAGGAGGGGAAGAGAAGGGAAGTGGAGGAGAAAGAAGAGGATGAGGAGGAGGAGGAGGAGGAGGAGCAGGTCCAGAGTAAACCTAAGACGGATCAGCGATATTGCAATGCACTTTCCCGCCCAAAAGTCCCTTTCCCATGAGTCCCTGCAAGCTTTCTTCGTTTCAGGCAGCGCCCCCGTGAACGTCGAACACCACCGTATAAGCCAGCCGTTCAGGCAAGACTTTCGATGTGTATAGGAACCTCTTATATTACTCAAGCGTGTTGTATGGAATGCGGGAAGGCCGGATCATAAAGTTCAACGAGGTGTCCAGCGTGAGCCCAGTTGTAAGGAAGGAGCCGCCGCCCTCCGAGTAACTGACCCACAGGCTTACGTTTATGCACGAGAACGAAATTTGAGAAAGCCTCAGATGTGTCAGATGGGGGTCAAATGTGGGGACTCGTTCGGTGGTGCAGCAGGGAGGATTTACGTACAGGGCAGCGAGTGGACGGCCAGAGGAAGCCCAGGCTGCATCACTCGTGTTTCACTTCGGGCTCTCCCGTCCAGCTTCCACGATCAGCTCTTTTCACTACGGGGCGCGCCCCCTTTAACGATGGGCGCCCCATGGGACTTGCCGCTATCAGGCGAGCGCCCTGCTCTGCTTCAGATAAGAAGAGGCGAAGTTCCGAGCGGCTGGCCAGAAGGTCAAAGGACATCTATACCGAGAGCTCCACTTCGAAAAGGAACCGCCGGCCTCTCGTCGAGTTCCCCATATCCTAAGATGGGGCTCTTGTTATTACCTGGACGCCTCCTACTCCTTCCTCTTCTTCTCCCCTCTTCTCCTCTTACCCAGACTTACTCATACACAGACTGACTCACACTCAGTCTTACTCATACCCAGACTTACTCACACACAACATTACTCACACTCAGACCTACTCATATTCGGACCTACTCCTACTCACATTTACTCATGGTGAGACTCACGCACGCCCCGTTCGCGGCCGTTTTGTGGGGATGCCTCAAGCGGTTTGCTTGTTTTCTGTGCCAACATCCTTGGCTACCAGAGCATATTGTGAGGATGTCTCGAGCGAGGCGCTCATTTTCACGTCCCTAAGGGGGGCTGCCAGGGGTTATCTCACGGTCCCGTTCGCGGCCGTTTTGTGGGGATGTCTCAAGCGATTTGCGTGTTTTTTGTCCTAACATCTTTCGCTTTCGGAGCAGATTTGGAGGATCTCTCGAGCGAGGCGCTCATCTTCACCCCCCTAAGGGGCGCCGACAGGTGTTATTTCACGGTCCCGTTCGCGGCCGTGTTGTGGGGATGTCTCAAGCGGTTTGCTTGTTTTCCGTCCCAGCATCCTTCGTTTTCGGAGCAGATTTGGAGGATGTCTCGAGCGAGGCGCTCATTTTCAACCTCCCTAAGGGGAGCCGCCAGGGGTTATCTCACGGTCCCGTTCGCGGCCGTGTTGTGGGGATGTCTCAAGCGGTTTGCTTGTTTTCCGTCCCAACATCCTTCGTTTTCGGAGCAGATTTGGAGGATGTCTCGAGCGAGGCGCTCATTTTCAACCTCCCTAAGGGGAGCCGCCAGGGGTTATCTCACGGTCCCGTTCGCGGCCGTGTTGTGGGGATGTCTCAAGCGGTTTGCTTGTTTTCCGTCCCAACAGCCTTCGCTTTCGGAACAGAGTTGGAGGAGGCCTCGAGCGAGGCGCTCATTGTCGCCCCCCTAAGGGGAGCCGCCAGGGGTTATCTCACGGTCCCGTTCGCGGCCGTGTTGTGGGGATGTTTCAAGCAGTTTTCTTGTTTTCTGTCCCAACAGCCTTCGCTTTCGGAGCAGAGTTGGAGGAGGCCTCGAGCGAGGCGCTCATTTTCACCCCCAGGTGGGCCAGATTTTGAGGATGCCTCGATCGGTTTGCCGGTTTGGGTGGCCAGGCTCGTGGGAGCAGGTTCTTCTCAGAATGCCACATGAGGCTCCAACAGGCCCCAGGAGGCCCCAGGAGACCACATGAGGTCCCAGGAGGCATCAGGAGGCCACACAAAGATTCAAGAGGCCACAGGATGTCCCAAGAGGTTCCAGGAGGCCCCAGGATGCTCCAGAAGGCCCCAGGAAGCCACAGGAGGCCCCAGGAGGTCACAGGAAGCGCCAGGAGGCCTCGGAAGGCAACAGGAGGCCCCGAGAGGCCCCAGGAGCAGGAGGCCTCAGAAGGCAATAGGAGTGGCTCCAATCCCATGTGTTTTACGTATGCTCCTATCGATTGGGCCTCACCTGGAGCACGATTCCTTGATGTTATACGTATGTTTCTAAAGATTGTCCTTCTCCTGTGTACACAATCCTACATGTTTTATGTATGTTCCTATCTATTGGGCCTCTCCTGGGGCACGAGTCGTTGGTGTTTCACGTGTGTTCCTATAGATTGCCCTTCTCCTGCGGCTCTAATCCGCAATGTTTTATGTAAGTCTGTTGCTATATATTGGGCCTCTCCTGGGGCACGAAACCTCCTAAGGAGGTCCCAGGAGGCCCCAAGAGGCTCCTGGAGACCCCAGGACGCCCCAGTAGGTTTCAGGAGGCCCCAGGAGGCCCCAGGCTCATGCGCAGAGACGCGCTCGTACTACTGAGGCTTATTCATACTCCAATTCATTCGCAGTTAGATTCATGTTCAGACCGTCACAACTGAAGCCCGTTTATAGTCGAAAGCGTTTGCGCCTAGACATTCACGGCGGACAGGTCCATGCGAATAGATGCACATATGGGGAGCTCAACGCAGTGAATAATTTTGTGCACACTTTCAAGCTTCAGGTAATCAAGCATGTTGAAGCCGTAGGGCGAACACACAATCTTGAAAAGGAATCGCACGCCTTCCGTAGTAGTTGTCGCACAGAGTCAACATGCTTACGTTTCGCGTGCCCCCGCTAGTTTTATCGCTGTCTATTCGCGGCCCGGCTAGTGTTCGGACGGCTTTCGACCCGCCTCGCGAGCCTGTTGATCAAAAAGGTATCCCGCTAGACCATCCACAAGCGGTGCCTAGGGTCTGCGTGTGAGCGTGTCTGGAGTAGGGGCGCAGGTATCCATGTAGTGAGGCAAACACCAACAGTGGTGAAATTGGGCCCCGGTGAGCCCCTTGGAGCCACATGGAGACAATGTTGCAAGATTGGTTGGCTCTCTTGGGACCCTTTTGGGCCCCTCTTAGGGACTTCTGGGGACCTCTTGGAGGTCTTGTGAGCCCTCTTGGGCCATAGGAGGCCATCGGTCGAAGAAGACGGTGGGTTCAATCACGCCCGCCCCCGTCGGAGGCTGACGAATCGTCTCTCGGGGCCCTCTCGAGCCGCTCCCGGGGCGCTCTTGGAGCATTCGGGGCCGTCTCGGCGTCTTCTGCGGCCCCATATTGGGGCTCGCTTGGGCGACCTGGGGCACATCGGAGGCAGAAAGGCAGGAGGGTCAAAGACGTACGTTCTAGTGGTGTTGCAAGGATTTGGGACTCTAGGGGGGCGTCCTTGGGAGATTCCGTGGCCACTTTGGTGTCGTCTTGGGCCGGTCTCGAGGCCTTTCCCAGGCATGCTGGAAGTTCAAATTAAAGCAATTCTTCACACGTCGCGTATCCCCGCCAGCCCATTCAGCAACCCTGCCCACGAGGGTTGACGGGCGAAGGGGCGAAAAGACACAGATAGTGAAACCAAGCGATCAACCAGGGTGAACGGAGAGTTCTCTGGGAGCAATGGGTTGGCCTTGCAGGGCTTCTTCGGCCCCCCTGTCAAAAACTAGTGCAGAATGATCGCGGGGCGCCCGCGCATAGGCCAGATCTGGCCACACGGGGTGCTTTGCATTGTGTGTTGGCAGGGCTGGTGGGTCTGCAGCAGTGCGGACATTCCGAGGGCACCGACGCCGTCCCTGTCAAAAACCCAAGCGAAGTGCCCACGGGGCGCCCGCGCATCGTCCAGATGGTGCCACAAAGTGTACTTCGCAGGGTGCTTTGGCAGAGATGGTGGGCGCGCAGAGCGGGCGATATGAGGGCACCCCCGCCCTTCCTGCGAACAGCCCGTGCAACGTGCTCACGGGACGCCCGTGTGTGCGTTTGAGTGCCTCTGGCGTATGACTTTGGTGAGTTCACAAAGTCCTTGAGCTTGAGAGTGTTTACAGATGAGGGGACCGGACCATAACCACTCTGGCTCAAGTCCTTTTCTCTCTTCACTAAGCCCGATCCGACCCATTCCCATACCTTTCCCATCATCTCCTTTTCCCTTCCTGTATACACCTGGAGGGTCACCGTGCTGATAGACGGACGACTGGGAGGTTGCCGAGTCAGGGTTCAGCCAGGAAAGAGCACCATCTACTTCGTCGCCGTCATCGTCCAGGGAACAGTGGTAGCGGAGCGTCTGAGGACGCTTCGGTCGATCTGCGGACAACAACATGACGGAAGCGGAGAATGGTGACAACTCGAATGGCGGCACTCGGAGCAGTGGCCAGGAGTCTATCGAGCAGGTCATAGAGATCGCGCAACAGTGGCAGAACGAGGACGGACAGTTCCACATCACGGCGGAACAAATGCGTACGTTCCTAGAGCAGGCCAGGAGTCTCATGGTGACAGAAGCGTCGGGTGCCGGTCAGGGCGTAAGCTCAAAGGCCACGGCGGACGCGGACAACACCAAGAATGGCCAAGGAGACGAACGGGACGACCAGCTGTCATGGAACTCGTCGGCACGTTGGAGCAAAGTAGGCGACGCAGCTGCCGCCAGTCCAGCTCCACGAGGGGAACGAGATCCTTGGCAGTCAGACGGACAAGATCCGTGGAGCCAGGCTTCAAGCAGCTGGACAGACAAGTACGCCAGCTGGAAGGATCACTCCAACGGTTGGCAGGACAGGTTCGACAGCTGGAGAGACACGTCGAACGAATGGCAGTCGAACTACTGGCAGAGCCGCGACTGGAACGGCAGCAAGTGGGGCGAGGCGTCGGGGACCGAGAAGTGGAAGACCGACGAGAGGCGCGGGAGGGACTTCGCCGATCCTGAGGCGTGGCCCGGCTGGTCAGAGTTCAAGCTATGGCGGCGGAAGGTGATGCGACGGCGGCAGACGACAGATGTGGAGACACACAAGCACGCGGACCGCATCATGAAGCTGCTGCCGATCGACTTGCAGCGGAAGCTGGAAGACATCACCGACGAGGATCTGATATCAGACAACGGAGCAGACAAGGTCATAGCCAGGCTGGATCTGCTCTCGGGAGAACGAGTCGGAGACGAGAAGCGTAAAGCAGGACGTGAATGCTTGTTTTCGTTTCAACGCAAGCAAGGAGAAGGACTCACTGAGTACGCAGCAAGGTTGGACCTGGCTTTCGACAAGGTCGGTACCCTCGGGCTTCCTCTACCAGATGATTGGAAATATATGTTCTTGGAAGAGGGAGCTGGACTGGACGAGAGAGGTGCTCAGTTGATGAAGATTCAGATGAAGACAAAGGATTCCTACAAAGAAGCCTTGGCAGCCATCCGAGAGATGGACGTGATCAGGCGGGAACATCTTAGCAGTCACCGATCTCGAGCCTACCACGTCGAGCAGTCGGAGGTCGTCAAATCAAGTTTCCCTGTTCATGAGCCCAACTCCGTTGACGACCAGGACACGGACTCTCTACTCGACTGGGACGACGCATCCTCTTTGGACACTGAGGGTGAGGCAGAGATATATGTAGCGCTGGACAAGATGGACCTGTACGACGATGAGCTCAAGTACGTGTTCAACACCATGCAAGAGGACAGGCGCAAGACATGGAAGCAGAACCGCGACTTGAAGGGAAGCTCAAAGTGGACCGTAAGTTCTTCGACCGCTCGAAAGAGAACGACATCAAGAGCGGCGACAAGAGCAAGTTCAACAGGGGACATCGCTCGGCGAAAGGAGAGCATCGACCCAGACGCAATCGACTACCTCTCGCGGAGCTGATCAAGAGGACCAAGTGCAGGTATTGCGGCAAGAAGGGCCACTGGTCACGCGAATGTCCAGACCGGAACGGCCAGAGCCACAGCGCCAGCGCAACCGGAGGAGGGACGGCGTCTTTCGTCGCCGGCTACGTGTACGCAAACGTGGTCGACCCCAACGCCCCGGAGGACGCGTCCAGCGGCCAGGAGCGACAGCAGCAGGACGAGCTGGTGCTTCTCACCGTCCCGCCCGGGGAGGCGGCGGTGGACACCGCGGCAGGACAGGGGCTGATCGGGAAGCCTTCTCTGAGCCAGCATGTAGAAGTTTTGAGGAGAAAGGGCCTCAGGGTCCCTCTCGTGGCTCCTCGGAACCCGTCAGCTCGGGGAGTGGGCGGAGGCACGAGGGTGCTTCACACAGCCCTCATTCCCACGGGGATCCAGGGAAAGTCCGGAATCATCGAGCTAGATGTCCTTCAGGAGGACGTCCCGCCTCTCCTCCCCGTAGGATTTCAAGAAATGCTGGGGTCCAAGATCGATTTGGAAGAAAACACCATGGACCTCAAGCGTTTAGGAGTCAAGGTAGGCATGAATCGTCTGCCCAGTGGGCACCGCACCATCAGGATTGATGACTTTCAAGCCTCGGGCGCCGATTTCAAGTGCCCAGAGGCGGTCTTTCAGCGGCATCCTTCGTTGAAAGAGAGTGATTTTCACTGCGACTGTGGCCGCTCAGGCAGCTCGGGAAAGTACACACCCTTCTACCTCGCCTCCAGCAGCGACCAGGGAGGCCGAGAGAGCCTAGCCGAGTCTGGCCGTGGCGACCCTAGGGTCCTGGGACCGAGTCCTACCGTTTCTAGCTTGGGCGTTCCCGAAGACCCGGAGGGGTCGAGGACGCCGTTCGGGGAAAGCAAGCACCGCCAGATGTCGGATCTTCGATCTGGATCGGGCCACCGCCACACTAAGGGAGACACATCAGGAAAGGAAGTAGGAAAGAGCAGCACCACAAGCGCGACCTGGTCCAGATCGGAGACCCGGTCGAGAAGCAGCACGTGGAGAGTGGGTTGTCTATTGACGTCGCTCGCGTTCGGGCAGCTCCTTGGCTCAAGCATCTGGGCCAATCTCGATCTCGACGACGCTGTCCGCACACGCCACCGAGTACGACAGCTCTCAGGAATCAGCAGTCGCGATGCCGAGGAAGGCGCAACCTACCGAGGCTCAGCTTCGCGAGAGGCGCCCGGCCACCATGGCCGAGCAGGTGGCCGGCACCGACACGACCTGGACATACGCTGTGACGGGCACGACAGTACCGGACCACCTCAACAAGGCTCAGCGCAGCTGGGCATGCATGGTCGGCAGCACCATGTTCTGGCTCAACAAGCTCGCCGACGAGTTTGGGCGCATGATGGTGACGCGCAGATTCTGGCCCACCAGCCTGCCGAAGTCGCTGAAGGTCGTGCCCCAGGCCTACTATACTTGTTGGCATCCCCCGATCAGCGTCGACTACGGCTGCAATGGATATGGTGCCTGGTGGGTCTGCTCGGACTGTACCATGCGAGTTGGATACCTCGACAAGAAGCCAGACAAGACGAAGAAGGAGCCAGACGTGACATGTCTGTGCAAGCGCAGGACTGCGGCGTGCTCGCTCTGCGGGCGGGGTTTCGCTCAACAGAAGGGCGCAGACCCATAATGGCGGGCTTTAGTGGCCGCTCCAGCGCCGCCGCCCGGCACTCGCGGGGTCACGCCCGCTGGAGTGCCACCGCCTTGGCCAGCCCAGGCCGAGTCGGGAGCCGCTCAGCACTACACCCGAGCGAGCGAGGCCGACCGGGCGGACTGGGTGATGAGCGAAGCGGAGGGCGACCTGCGTCGCAAGAAGCAGCTCCAACGACAGGAGGTCGCAGCGGCGGCGGCAGCGTCAGGGCCAGCTACTCCTCGGGAGCCGCGCAGTCGGAAGCCAGAGAACGGCGAGGATCTCTCAGAGGTGATGCAGATGTTGAGGGACATGAGCGCCAAGCAGGAGGCACAGCAGAACGCGATCAGCCAGCTGACGAAGGTGACATCCGGCCAGAGGCACGCGATGGCGCTGCTCCAGTCCCAGATGCAGGCCCAGAGCCCGGTCAAGGAGCAGTCCTCGATCAAGGAGCAGCAGTCAAAGTCACCGGGACAATCGTCGCAGCAGCCAGGATCGAAGCAGGAGATGCAGCCAGGCCCAGCAAAACCAATCCCATCGGCGATGGCAGAGCCAGCAATGCCGGGAAAAGGGTTCGCCTCAGTGGTTCTTCCCAACGGTGGCGGAGGCGCTCCCTCAGTCCTTCCCAGTGGACCGGGCGCTCGTGGAGGAGTTCCTCACCACTACATCGGGACACCCGACGGAGGACACCAGACGTCGATAGCTACGACCCCACATCTTGCAACGCAGCAGGTTCCACCAGAGGCGTCCTTCCAGATGATCGCGACCGCGCCGTTGGTTGCCGCCTACCCGAACTACGCGGCAGCACCACCCTTGCAGGAGCCGCAGGGACAGGCGAAAGGTCACGGCAAGGGCCCGGACAACCCGACGGGCCTGATGGACCAGAGGGGCAACCTGTTGTCTTCTACCACGATCAGCAGTATCGATCTCCCAGGATCGGCCTTGCCTTCACAACAGTTGGCAGCGGCAGCTCCGCAGAAGCGACCTTCTCACCTTTCGAGGCCCTCTGCCGAGCAAGGAGATCCCTGGAAGGAGTCGCCCGAAGAGAAGCAGGCGCGGGACCAGCGCCGGAAGGACGCGGAGGAGGCGGCCAAGCGCGACAAGGACCGTCTGGCGCGGGATGGCTGGACGGCAGCGGGGTGGAAGTCGTGGGACGGCTGGAACAGCGGCGACCAGAGGTGGGACAAGGGCGGCCAGAAGCGGTAGAGCCGATCTCGAGCGCTGTCCAGAGCGCCCCGGGATCCGAGAGAGCCAGTACCAGGACCGGGGACGCCAATCTCAGCAGTCTCTTCGAAGTAGCCTCTGAAAGATGTCAGGCCTTTCAGGACCACTTCGATATCGAATGGAAAGGGGAAGAAAACGGGAAGGTTCGATTCGTGTGTCCAGAGCTCGATGACGCCATCTTTCATGATCCCTTTTCCGACGAATCAGAAGTTATGATGACCCGACGTCAAAGGAAAGACATGCTTAGAGATTCCGGCATCTCCGAGCGATATACTAAGTGTTTCAGGACCCACCTGCGGAATCGGGCCTTCATGGAGGTCTTTTCTCCTCCGCGGGTGGCGCGGTTTGCTCAGCACGCCGGGGTCTCCTGTCTAGGCAGCTTTGATAAGGAGGGAGGTTGGGATTTCACCAGGAAAGGGGATCGGGACAAGTTTGAAGCCTTGGTGAGGAAGAAGGAGCCCTGGATGGTCCTCCTGGAACCTCCTTGTGGCCCATTTTCGATATCCAGGAACGCTTATGCTCATCGGGAGATGACCGAAGGGCAGCGGCAGAAGGATGCCGAGGCACTGCTTCTCCTAGGTTTTGCCATGGAGATCGCTATGATACAGGTCGAAGGCGGCCGCAAGTTCGCTTTTGAGCACCCCTCAGGTGCATCCTCCTGGTCGACCCAGGCCGTTCAGCACATTTTGGGACTGGAAGGGGTAGGACACACAAATATAGACATGTGCTACTTCGGTCTCAGTGTCGACAAGAGCGGAGACCTGTCTCGAAAGCCGACGCGTTTGATGTCTAACTGCCCCCGGTTCCTGGACCGTTTTCTCTCCGCCAAGTGTTCCGGGGATCACGTGCGCGCTCAGTTGATCGGGGGAGGAATGACATCGAAGGCTCGCGTTTACCCGCCAAAGTTCGCGAGGGCCCTGGCCGAGGCTATCAGGTCCAGCGTGGAAAACACTCACCCGGGCCCCGCCCCCGAGGAAGTTAGAGTGGTCCGAAGGCCACAGTACCAGCTCTTAGTTGAGCCGCCGGGGGGGTTATGCTTTCCTACGGGGACTGGGGAGGCCCCCAGCCCTAACGAGGCGGCAGCCGGAGGGAGCGAGGACGCCCGCCCTGACGACGAACAGGGCGAGGAAGCGGAAGCCGAGGAAGGTCCGGGGCCTGAAGACGAGAAATTCGTCATCACAGCCCCGGTGAAGCGTATGATACACAAAGTTCACGTGAACTTAGCTCACCCCCACAAAGACGTCTTTCTCAAAATACTCAAGGCGGCCCAGGCGAAGCCAGAGGTTTTGCGATACGTCCGGGACGAGTTCACGTGCGGGGACTGTCAGGCCCATTCCAGGACGGCCGCTAGTCGGCCAGCCGCGGTCCCGAAGACGTTTGAGTTCAATAAAATCATTGCCCTTGACACGTTTTTCCTTACGTTCAAGGACCAACAGCTGGCCTTTCTCAACGTTATATGTCACGGGACAAACTTTCAGGTTGTGGAGCTCTACGACGGCACGGCTCTCGGCGCTTGGCGAGCGTTCATGCGTGCCTGGGTAAGACCTTTCGGCCCGCCAGTGTTCGCCATCACAGATGGCGGTCCCGAGTTCAAGGGACAGTTCGAGAGGGGGGTGGAACATTTAGGGATATTTCACCATATCACGGACTCCGAGAGCCCCTGGCAGAATGGCAGGGCAGAAAGGCACGGAGGATGGGTGAAAGAAATTCTGTTCAAGGCCTCCGAGACGACTCTCGTCACCACGGTGCCGGAACTCGAAACATTGGTTCACGAGGTCACCGCGGCCAAGAACAGATACCTGCACCGGGGGGGTTTCACTCCCTATCAACTCGTTTTCGGGATAAACCCCAGGATTCCCAGCGATATCTTGGCCGACGATCCGATTCAGGTCGTTGGAGTCGAGGATTTATCTCCCGGGTCCTGGGACCGAGACACCGCGTCAGCGGAGTTTGCGAGGCGAGATGCCATTCGCAGGCATGCTCGCAAGGAGCTGTTTGAGAGTTCCAGTTTAAAGAAGTTGGCCAGCGCTGTCAAGGCGCCCACCCATCGGGACAAGCATTTTGTGCCGGGACAGTGGGTCTACGTGTGGCGCAGAGCGCCAAAGGGGGGACAAAAGACCTACGCCTTACAAATGGACAGGTGGGTTGGCCCCGGGCTCGTCGTGATTCAAAACGGTGGGACCATATGGGTCGCAATGCGATCGAGGCTCTGGAAATGCTCGTCGGAGCAAGTCAGGCCAGCGAACACGGAAGAATCCAGGGGGGGGGAAGTTATGGCGGATCCCGCCATTCAACAGCTTCTCAGAGAGGCCCAAGTCAGTGGCCACCGAGCGGGGACCAACGTGGCCTCCGAAGGCCCTCCTCCTCCGGAAGCCTGGGACCTGGGGGGGCCCATGAAAGACGGTCCTGGAGCTGACGTTCCTGATCTAGAGAGAGACTCAGGGGCGGCCGCCGGAGAATCGCTCGAGCGATCACCTCAGCCTCCTCCTGGAACGGAAGAGGACCCCCGAGGGGGCAGAGCGGGGCGAGAGGGTCCTGCTCTCGAGGCTCCTCCGGGACTCTCTCCCATTCCGGAGGGAGAAGAGGTGGCCCCCTCGGATGACACCAGGGATCCCGGGCCAGGGGGAGGTCAAATGTCCAGGGAAGTCTCCTCTGATCCAGCTGACTCCGGGGTTCTGTCTCGATCCGAGTCAAGGGACTCTCTCGTGCCGTCAGGCGCGGCGTCCCGCACCGCGTCGGAGAGAGACGGCGCCGCGGGCAGGAGCACGCGACGAAGGCCTCCTCCTCCACCACAGGGAGAGAAGAGAGGGCGCGCCATAGAGCCGGGGGCCGCTTCCTCCGGAGAGTTGCCCGAGCCGTCTAGTGGCGCTATCGAAGCGGCTCCACCCATCAATCCTCGGAGATTGAGCATAGCCGATACAGCGAGCCAACGTCGTAATGCCGATTCAGACCCCGGTCGGATCTTGCGCGAGATGCAGGAAGCTGCGAGGCACAATCGACAGTTAGACGGGTATAGATTGTCCAGGCTCACTCCAGGAGGAACTTTCCGGGGGACTCCAGCGGGTAGAGTTCAGCAGCAGATCTCAGAGTTAGAATCGGTGCCACAGCATCCTCATACCAGACCTCGTTCATCGGGCCCCCCCTCGAGCACGGCTCTTGTGGACACCTTTGTTGCTTCAGGACCCGAGGAGGCCACTGTCGTGGCTGACGCGTTCTTTGAGGCCTGCTCCAGCAGCGGTCCGGGCCCTGGAGCCGTTTTTCAAGGCCTGGACCAAAGACTCCAGGAGGAGGGCTGGAGCGGATCCTGGATCACCTACTCCAACGGCAACGCCGATGTGGAGATAGTTCCTCACGAGTCTGGCGATTGTTCCCTCTCGCTTTTGACCAACCGGGGAGCCGAGGTCCACTACAGAAATCTGAACTCCGAGGAAAAGAAAGAGTTCGACGTTTCGGACTCGGCCGAGTGGAAGGCCATAGCTGAGGGGACTAGTGCCGTCATCGTCCATCCTCCGGACAAGGCGAAAGAGCTTAGGAGGCTTTTCCCGAGTCGAATCGTGTCCAGCCGCATGGTGAGAAGGTGGAAACCACAAGAGGGGACGTTTGCTAAACCTAAGGCTAAATCTAGGTGGTGTGTTCGTGGGCACCAAGATGAGGACACATGCGAGCTCCAGGTCTACGCCCCAACCCCCTGTATGGAAGCTCTTATGCTGTTTTTGGTGGTTGCGCTCATGTATAAATTGACGATATACATTGGCGATATCAAAAACGCGTTTTGCCAATCTGAGCCCTTGAAAAGGGCTCGCGGTCGGGTTTTCGTCGAACCATGTGAAGGGGTGCCAGTACCGCCAGGATCTCTCATCGAGCTCATAGCCCCAGTTTACGGCCTTGATGATGCCCCGTTAGCCTTTCACCGCGCCGCAGCTAATTTCATGCACACTCAGGGCTTCGAGCGGACCAAGTTAGAGCCCTGCTGGTTTGTGAAGCGCTCCGACCGCGGGCTGGAGGCCCAAGTGCTCGTCGAAGTCGACGACTGGGCCATCGCGTTCAAGCCCGGGTCAGAGGATCAGTACATCAAGCCCTTCAAGTCCAGGTTTACTTTTGGGAAGATGCGTCTACTGGACGCGGAAGGGGTGGAGTACATCGGGAGGAGATTGAGGTTAGACGGGGATCGTATTCTGGTGGATCAAGAAAAATACATTTTAGAGCAGCTCCAGAAGATCCCTCTGGCCCGAGGCAGGAAAGGAGACCACGGGGCCCCTCTGCTAGGAGGGGAAGTAGCAGCCTTTAGGTCCCTCGTCTATAAGCTGCAGTGGGTAGGTCGCGAGACCAGGGCAGAGGCCGCCGGCACGGCTTCCATATTAGCCACGAAGGTCAATCGCCCTTGCGTTCGCGACCTGCTCGATGCCAACAAGATGGTGGATCATCTACGCTCGACGGCCTCGCTTCCCGTCATCGCGTGGCGTTTCAAGCCGGACGGATTCGTCCTGGCGACTGCCAGCGATTGCGGTGGAGTGGGGGCGGAGGACAAAGATGGTCTGCAGCATCCTCAGGAAGCGTGGCAGATATATGTTGCCGACAATTCCCTGGCCCACGGGTCACGGGCCCGCGTCACTCCGATTGCGTGGAGGTCTGGGAAAGTCAGGCGACAGGTATCTTCCACCCTCGCTGGGGAGACTCTTTCATTGTCCAGCGCTCTAGGAGAGGCCGAGTGGCTTCAAATCTGGTTGGTGGATGTAGTTCGAGGAAACGTGGTCCACGAAAGGTGGAGAGAGCACATAGGTCCTTTCGTCGCCATCTTAAAGGACGAGTGCCAGGTTCTTGGGGAGCCACAGTCCGGGAACCTGAGCGTGGTCGACGCAAAGGGTATATACGACACGCTCTCAAAGCTCACGGCGGGGTCCAAGTCGGACCGGCGGGCAGCCATAGACTTAGCGGTGGTCAGGACATCTATGGAGAAAATCGGAAGCGCGATCCGATGGATGCCGCATCCGCTGATGCCTGTAGACTGTATGACCAAATCGGATCTAGCCAAGACTAATGCCGCTCAGTTGACCATGCTCAAGTCAGGCATGCTTCGCCTATCGGCGGAGGAGTCCGCCATCCAGGAAAGAAAAGAGGACCCCAGGACCAAGGGACGTTCCAGAGCCGAATCGAGGCGACAGCTCCAGTAGGCCTCCCCACGGTGCGCTGTCTCCTTCTGCCTCTTTGCTCTGGACACTCCCAGAGACGCAGCCGATAAGGGCTCCACGGCGCGATCAGCGCTAGAGGAGCTCTCTCGATTTTGCCTCTGCGTCCGACTCTCGCAGCGCCGGCGACTGCCTTTCTAGGAACGCCATCTGGCCAGAGAGGAGCGACCTCGCGCTCCAAGTACGCTGTTGTCGCCGGCGCAAGAGAGAGTTGCCGGGTACGAGGACGGAGTCCCTTGTGCCACATCCTGTTTCACTAATTTCAGATGACCCTCCAGGCAGAGTGAATGGTCTGGTCCTCATCACTTCAAGCTCACTCTTTTTCGGGGCACTGTGCGTTTGAGTGCCTCTGGCGTATGACTTTGGTGAGTTCACAAAGTCCTTGAGCTTGAGAGTGTTTACAGATGAGGGGACCGGACCATAACCACTCTGGCTCAAGTCCTTTTCTCTCTTCACTAAGCCCGATCCGACCCATTCCCATACCTTCCCCATCATCTCCTTTTCCCTTCCTGTATACACCTGGAGGGTCACCGTGCTGATAGACGGACGACTGGGAGGTTGCCGAGTCAGGGTTCAGCCAGGAAAGAGCACCATCTACTTCGTCGCCGTCATCGTCCAGGGAACACGTGCACGGTCCAGATTTTGCCGCAAGGCGCACTGTGCAGGTGCTCTTGACAAGGATGGCGGGAGGGTGCCTTTCTCGTCCCGGACTTGTCGCTGGTCGGGTGTGGGAGGGTCAGCATCGTTCCACCGATCCCCATCTCCATTCCCATCCCCATCTCGACCCCATCATCCCACCACCCCAGTTTGGGGATATACCCTTCAAAACCCAAGGGGGACAGCCTGTATCCCCATCTAGGGGGGTAAATCGCCGTGGGGATAAGGATGGGTTAAACGAAGCTCAGAGGGGAGGGGGGGTGTATATTTGTAAGGAACAGTGATCAAGTTCCAAGCGGGAAGGCCGCAAGCTGTCTCGCTCACTCCCACCCGCCCTCCCGCTATATCAGTAGCACCATTGACTCAGTAAAGGAAGGGGGCGCCATCGATGACCGTTGGGAACCAATGCAAACGCGAGCAAGGTGCGCGACGCCCGCGAGGTGCGCCGCACGTTCCAGGTGCGCCAGGCGCACTAGGTGCGCCACATTGGGCAATATGTCGACCAGTGCAAAGTGATCCCAGGGCACCTGCGCCCGCCCACCCACCACATACGCAGCACCCGAGTCTCAGCGTCAGGTACGCCAGCGCACGTGACCGAGCACACTGGGAAACGTGTCGACCCCCCCCTTATCCTTGCCAAAAAGAGGTGCGAAGTGTCGGCGGGATGGTCAGCACAGTTCATGGTGTGTGCACCCCAAATCACGTTGCGCTGGTTTTTGAGAAGGGGTGCCGTGCCTGCGCGCACCAGGCAATTTGCGCCCCCCCCCTCCAGGCCGACAAATAACATGCAAACTGATCACAGGACTCCCGCGCATGGTCCAATATTTTGCGGCAGCGAACGCTCAACATGCGCCCCCCCTCCGCCGTCCTTGCCAAGCAACTGTTTGCCATGATCGTATGGACCCTGCGCGTGGTCCAAGATTTTGCCGCAACGTGCACTTTGCATCGTTCTTTGACAGGGACTGTACGGGGTGTCGACATGGTGCCTGGTCGGCCGCTGGTGGAGTGGGGGAGGGGTGGCTGTTAACAAGGGGCGATACTACATGCAGTGATCCAACTTTTGACCATTCCCGTCGGCGAGGCCCCCTCCCCCCGTAGAATCTTGCAACATGGCATTTGCCTGCGGCGGAGTAGGTTCGGCTCCTGCCCACCCCGCTTCTCTCTAGCATTATAGATTTATTTCGGTGCCAGAACTTACTCCGTACGTTTTTGTTCACGTGGAGTGGCTTAATCCGCGTTTCGGTTGAATTTACCCCGCTTCGGCTTTCAGCAAAAAAGAAAACCTCCGCGCCCCCTGAAGGTTACTCCGCCCGTCGTTTACGAGGCTGTGCGACCTCAGATCTTGATGGATGCTTGCCATCTGTGTGGCCTTGCCCGAGGGCCCTCGCCGCGGGTCCGCGCGCGCGGGCGATTTTGAAGAATTGGCAAAATGTTGGGCAACGGCATCACACAATTCGGAAGGGAAGGGTGAGGGTGGAAGGAGTCACTCGCCAAACCACTTGCGCTTACAGGGCTGGCGGGACTTCTGGCAGCATTACCAGGTGACGTCTCAGCGCTAAGGCGAGACGCACATCTAGAGGAACAGCCGCCCTCTAGTCGTGTGCTTACGGGACCCGTAATTCCATGTTCATGTTTGCTGGGCAAATGTCCTACGTTTGTGGTTTTCGTTGGCTGCATTCGAAACGTGTCGCGTGGCCCCACCAGCCCGTCCAGAAACGATTCCGGGCGAGTTGCCCTGATCATGTATGTGGAGGAGCATGCAGTGGAATAACGGGCTGGGTAAGACGCCATACGCCAAGAGGGGGAGGATGGGGGAGGAATCGAAGGAGGAGCAGGCGAGGGAAGAGGAGGAGGAGGAGGAGGAGGACGGAGGAGGAGTAGGGAGGAGGGGGGGACGGAGGAGGAAGGAGGAGGACTAGACGAACGAGGAAGAGGGGGAGGGGGAGGAGGAGGAGGAGGAGGAGGAGAAGGATGGCGAGCAGAAAGGCCATATGCCAATAGGCCTCTTGAGTGCCTCAGAGTCTCTTCGGATATCTTTCGAGAGCTTCTTGGAGGCCTGTCCCAGCGTCTTGGAAGTCTCTGGAGCTCCCGAGGGCCTCTTGGGGCTTATTGGGTGCCTCTGGGGGGCGTCTTGGAAGTTTATTGGGAGCCTCTTGTAGGGGCATCTTGGAGGACGTCGAACAAAGGAAGGGCACTCCCTAATTAGGGTCCCCACCCCCCACCCCCAGGGGACCAACATGTGGCCAAAACCGTTCATGCAAACATTATGAGTTGGCTTTCCTCGCCGAGGTCGCACAAAGACCCTCTGACACCTCGCGCCCCCGTCCCCCCCTTCCAGAACCAGGGGGGTGGGCTAGGGGGAGGTGTCCACCCCCTAGATAGCAAGCCGTCTAGCTCGCTCCCACCCGCCCGCCCAACACATAAGTAACACCCGAGCCTCAGCATGTTCAGCTCTCGTCTTTGGATGGACAATTATTGGAAACCAAAACCGACCAAATGTGCGTCCGTAGCCATTTTGGCTCAAGCGCCCGTCAGGCACCTGTCGGCCAGCACCTCTCAGCCGCAGGATGGTCGCTGCGGGTGACCTGCACACCGTCCTGCTGAGGAGCGACGGGACGGCCGCGGCCTGCGGCTGGAATGGCTACGGGCAGTGCGACGTCCCCGCGCTCGGCGAGGGCCTGACCTACACGCAGGTCGCTGCGGGTGTCACGCGCACCGTCCTGCTGAGGAGCGACGGGACGGCCGCGGCCTGCGGCTTGAATGCCTACGGGCAGTGCGACGTCCCCGCGCTCGGCGAGGGCCTGACCTACACGCAGGTCGCTGCGGGTGACGAGCACACCGTCCTGCTGAGGAGCGACGGGACGGCCTGCGGCATAAATGACGTCCTGAATGACTACGGGCAGTGCGACTTCCCCGCGCTCGGCGAGGGCCTGACCTACACGCAGGTCGCTGCGGGTCGCGCGCACACCGTCCTGCTGAGGAGCGACGGGACGGTCGCGGCCTGCGGCTGCAATGACCACGGGCAGTGCGACGTCCCCGCGCTCGGCGAGGGCCTGACCTACACGCAGGTCGCTGCGGGTGACCTGCACACCGTCCTGCTGAGGAGCGACGGGACGGCCGCGGCCTGCGGCTGGAATGGCTACGGGCAGTGCGACGTCCCCGCGCTCGGCGAGGGCCTGACCTACACGCAGGTCGCTGCGGGTGTCACGCGCACCGTCCTGCTGAGGAGCGACGGGACGGCCTGCGGCATAAATGACGTCTTGAATGACTACGGGCAGTGCGACTTCCCCGCGCTCGGCGAGGGCCTGACCTACACGCAGGTCGCTGCGGGTGACCGGCACACTATCCTGCTGAGGAGCGACGGGGCGGCCGCTGCCTGCGGCTGCAATGACCACGGGCAGTGCGACGTCCCCGCGCTCGGCGAGGGCCTGAGCTACACGCAGCCGCAAGCGCTGCCAACGCTGCTCCTGCAGGCGTCTTTTGACGGAGCCTCGGTGCAGTTCCTGACCCTTGGCGGGGAGGAGTTCGACCAAGTCCAGGCGGCTCCCACCGATCGCCTGTCGGACGTGCGCGCCCGACTGATGTCTGGCCGCGTCTCGCGCACGCTGGGGTTCTCCGCCATCGACGCCGTCCTGCCGGATGGCAGGCTGCTGAGCCGGGCCCCCAGAGGAGAGAGCTGCGCGGCAGCGTTCGGGCGCGCCGACGACGGCGGGCCCGGGCGCGAGGTGCAGAAGATGTCGACGGAGTGAGCGCCTTTGCAGCCCTCTTCACCCGCCCCTCCCTCTCTTTCTCGTCATCACCCTCCTGCTCGACCTCATTATTCGTTCTTCCCTCCTCAGCAATCTCGACTGATCGTCGCGGGTGCGCGGCCACCCGCTAGGCTCGAGCGTGCCACTAGGTAAACTCATCTGGGCATCCCGCCGCATGCCCTGCGGCGTTGCCGCCCCAGGAAGCCTTATGAGCCATGCAGGTTGAAGCGTAGCAGAGAGAAAAAACAAAAACGACCAAATGTGCGCGACGCTGGGGCGAGGTGCGCCGTGCGTGCCAGGCGCGCCACGCGCGCCAGGCACCCCTGTGGCCCGAGCGTGCCAGGCACGCCTGGTGCGCCAGATGCGCCACATGCTCCGCGTGCGACAGATGTGCCGCATACTCGAGCCGCGCCAGGTGCGTCACGTTCGCGGCACGCGCAGAGTGTGTCAGGTGTGCCTGCGCACGTGACAGCACACATCGGGAACTATGCCGGCCCCCAACAGACTGGTCGAACAATGCCCATCATTATGTCTGGTGGGCTTGCGCACAGCAGGCCATACGCCACCACCCCTGCGCTCCCTGTCAAAAACAACTTGACAGTGATCGCGGGGTGGCCGCGCACGGTCCAGATTTAGCTGCGAGGTGCATTTTTATTGTTTGTTGTTAGGGATGGTAGCCTTGCGCGCAGCAGGCAATATGCTGGCACCCCCGCCATGCCTGTCAAAAACAATACAAGGTGGTCGCGGGCCTCATGAACACAACTCAAGGCTTTGCCCACAAGTGTACTTTGCATAGTTTTGTTGACAGGGACGGTGGGGGGGGGCCGCATCGGATTGGCCGCGCATGCTCCACATGTGGAGGCAGAGTGCGTTGTGTATGGTTTTTTGACATGGATGGTGGGGGGGGGCCTCATAGTTCTTGGTTGGCCGCTGGTCGCCTGGGGGAGGGGGTGTATACTAATAGGGAACAGTAATCAAGGCACCCTCGCCGCCCTCAAGCCGTCCCGCTCACTATAACCAGCCCTCCTAAGACATAAGTAGCACTCGAGCCGCAGCGTGTTCACCGGCAGGCTCTGGACGAACGGTTAGTGGGAAGCAAAACGAAGCAGGGCTGGACCTGAACGCTGTTTTGCCGGACTTCGGCTGTGTTTTGTTTTTCGTCCTGGCAGGGAGGTACAGGAAAGAATGTAGAACGAAACGAAACATAAAACGAAAACAAAACGAAAAACAACGTTCAGGTCCAGCCCTGAAACAGACCCCATGTGCGCAACGCGGGGGCGGGGTGCGCCACGCGTGCCAGGCGCGCCAGGTGCGCCAGGCATCCCAATTACCGAAGCGTGCTGGGAAGCCTGGTGCGCCAGATGTGCCACGTAATCCACGTGCACCATGTATGCCGCGCGCTCCAGCCGCGCGCCAGGTGCACAACATTCGGGGCGCGCGCAGAGCGTGCCAGGTGCGCCTGCGCACGTGGCAGTACACATCGGGAAACGTGTCGGCCCCCACCACCCTTGTCGAAAACTAGTGCGCAATCGCAGTGGGGCGGCCATGATAGAGCCTGGTTGACCTGCACATAGCAGGCAATGTGCCAGCACCCCCGCCGTGTCCCTGTCAAAAAACAATGCAAAGTGCTCGCATCCCCCCGATCATGACCCAAGATGTTGCCCAAAGGTGGATTTCACATTTTTTTACATGGATGATGGTGGGGGGGGTCTCATTGGTCCTGGTTGGCTGCCGGTCGCCAGGGGGATGGGGTGTTTATTGATAGGGAACATTTATCAAGCCACCCCCCAGGATAGCAAGTCGTCTAGATCACTCCTACCTGCCCTCCCAACGCATGAGTAACACCCGAGTGCCAGCATATCGCTTACGAGCGCCACACATGCCATGCGCGCCACGGGTCTCAGGTGCACCAGGCACCCTAGATGCCGAAGCGTGCCATGCGCGCCAGGTGCGGCACATGGCCCACTTGCGCCAACTGTGCCACGTGGTCCAGCCGCGCTAGGTGCGCCAGCTACGGGGAACCAATAGGGACCCCAGGTGTCTGGGGGCCCGGCCCCAAGAGTTCGAAATCTTGATTCCCCTTAAAGCGAAGTGCCGAGCATTCTGTGAGAAGGGCAGCTCCTCCACGGAGCGCAAAGCAGTGGCAGCATGAGACAGTGTAAGAAATCGTGGGACACATGAGAGCTTAGAGAAAAGAGCGCCCCCCCTGAAAGAGTACAAGAGGATGTCGCCAGCAACGCGCAGCTAGAGAAACAGGAACACACGCTCGCTGGACACAGGGCGTCGCCGCGCCACTCTAGTCAACAGGCATGAGAAAGGGCTCACGCATCGCCGCCATCCCTGTCAAAAGCCATTGCGGAGTGGTCACGGGGCGCCTGCGTGTGCTCCAGCTTTGGAGGCAAAGTGTATGTCGTATGGTTGTTTTGACACGTATGGATGGCCTGCGCGCAGCAAGCAACATTCCGGCACCCCCGCCATCTTTGACACAACTGGAGCGAAGTGGTCGCGGGGCGCCTGTGCATGCTCCAGATTTGGAGCAAAAGTGCATTTCGCGTGTTTTTTTACAAGGGATGGTGTGGGGGGCGGGGGCGCATTTGTCCATGTTGGCTGCAGGTCGCCTCGGGGAGTGTTTTGTTTGTTTGTTTTTGAATAAGGAGCAGCGATCGGCCCAGCCCCAGAAGGGAAGAGGGAGGATGGAAGAGGAAACTCGCCAAACCACTTACGCCCTAAAGGTCTGGTGGGATTAAGCGAATCTGCGCTGCGGAAGGGCGAGAACCAAACTGTCGAAAACTAGCCGCCCTCCAGTTACGCAGCTGATGTGATTTGCGACGACTGTTCGCGTCGAAGCGAGAGCCATTTCTTTCAGTCGACTCCCGCTTGAATAGTGGGCCTTCCTTTGGCCCTCTCAGGCTATATTGAAGCCGTCTTGCGGTTCTCTCGGGGCCGTCTTGGGGTGCGTCGTGGGGATCCATGACTTGTTGGACCGATATGAAGCCCAAACGCTTTGGATGTAAAACGCATCCAAAATCTTGCGGTATCAAAAATGCTGCGAAGTGCAATCAGAAGTACCTCGCGCCTGCCAAGCATTTGCTAGCCTGCTCTGCCCTATCGTTTTACGTTTGGTATCGCTTTGATTCCTTCCTCCATGTTCTTCCAATCTCCAGTTGCGGTGGAGGAGGCAACGGCCGTCGCACTGATGGGCGACCTCGAGGAGATCCCGGGCATTTGCTTCGACCCCAAGCTCTACTCGCGGCTTGCTAACAAGGTGCTTGCAGCTGGAAGGGACTAGTGGAGCACGTTTCAGTAAATACAGTTGCCGACGAGTAAGAGTTACCGCCGTATGTAGTCCCGTGCTAGTTTACCAGAGTCGCCCTATCGCGCCACCGTCTAATGGAACAGCAGCCATGCAGGCCGGTTCTATTCAAAAAAGGTGTTGATATCCTCCCAGCAGGTACTTGTGCAAACGATTGAGTGCGTGCGGGTGTTCCTGAGAAAAACAATACTTCGTGGTTAGGGGACGCCAATTATATGGCGACGCCGGTCCTTACCTGCCACCCTCAGGGCCAACGCCAGAAACGAGGCAACCCGAAGCGATCCAGAATCGAGGCAATCCGAATCAATCCGAGTCGAGGCTATCTGAGGCTGTGTGAGGCCACTCCCCGGCGCCGAAGAAGGCAGACTTTACAGGGAGAGGAAGGATGAAAAGGACCAGAAGGAGGAGGGCCAGTGTAAACCCAAGACCAGTCAAAGATGTTTCAACGAACCCTACTTCCAAGTTCCCTCTTCATAGATCCCTATAGTGATTTAGTCTCACTGGGGGAAGTGCTTCGTTGGAAGAGAATCCTTGGAAATTCCTGAACCGTACCGAAGCACCATTTCTAGTACGTCAACACCAGAAATCAACGTGAGTCTTGCGCCTTGACAGTCCTACATCGTGCCAAATCACCGCTTCTGGTACGTCAACAATAAGAATCTTCAAAATTGCTGAACACTCTTAAGACGAATGTGCGCGGCGCTCAGGCGAGAGCCACATTTTGAAAACCGCCCGCCCTCCATCCGTGAAACGAATGCTATCTTTAAGCTCGAGGAGCACACCTTGTGAGAAAGTCTCAGGCGAAACACCCACACGTCTCCGGTTGCGACAGGGAGGAGTTATTCACAGGGAAAATGGACGGAGGAGGAGAAGAGGAGGAACGGATGAGAAGGAGGAAGGGGAGGAGAAGGAGAAGGAGAAGAGGAGGAGAAGAGGAGGACAGGAGGAGAGCAGGAGGAGGAGGAAAAGGAGGAGACGGAGGAAACATATTGTTTCCAAATGGTTTCGCGAGTTTTGTTGGTTTTCGATTGCCTCAGGAAGACCCTGGGATTTGCATAGGGCCCTGGGGGCTTCTGGAAGCCTTTGGAGGTCGGCGAAAGGAGGAGGGGGAGCAGGAATATGGGGCGGAGGAGGGGAGGAGGGGGCGGAGGAGGAGGAGGAGGAGGAGGAGGAGGAGGAGGGGGCGGAGGAGGAGGAGGAGGAGGACGAAGCAAGCGGGGTACATGCGTAATGTTTTCTCCCGGATTTTTTCTCAGAGCCGACTCCTGCGGGGCCCTCGTCGCGACGACTGGATGCGTACGGAGATCCTGGTCGTCACGCGCTCCAGTGAAGGTCAGGGGGGGCCGCTTTTGAAGGGTCGGGCAGCATTGAATTGCACGGAGAGGGCGAGGATCAGGCGGAGGGTGGAGGAGGGTCATGGAAGTGCGATTGCTTCCGTCGGTCTTGAGGCCTTCGGAGGTTGATTACCAGAGAGGGCGGCAGCTACGAAGGAGGAGGAAGAGGAGGAGGAGGATGAGACACGGGGAGCGGAAGAGACTCTCCAAGCCTCAACAAGCTTCAGGGCGGTGTGTGTGGAGCTCTTGGGGAGTGTAACGGTGATGCTGATGATGATGATGATGATACTGATATTGATATTGATGATGATGATGATGATGATGATGGTGATGATGATGATGATGATGATGATGTTGTTATTGTTGGTGATGTTTGTGTTGAAGGCGATGCTGCTGCTGATGAGGATGTTGCTGATGATGGCGATGGTGACCATGATGCTGGTGATGATGATGCTGATGCTGCTGACAATGGCGATGCCGATGATAATGATGATGACGATGATGCTAATGTTGATTTTGCTGATGGTCATGCTGGGATGACGATGATGATGATGATGATGGTCGTGATCATGATGATGATGATTATGATCCTGATCATGATGATGATGACTATGCTGGTGATGACGAGGTTGACAATGATGAAGACGATGATAATGACGATGATGATGGTTGTGGTGCTGGCGGTGATAATAGCGATGATGGTAATGGTGATGGTGATGGTGACGATGGTGACGATGGTGATGGTGATGGTGATGTTGCTTATGATGTCAATGATGATGCTGATGGAGATGATGGTGATGGTGATGGTGATGATGATGATGATACCGATGATGAGGATAGTAATGCTACTGCTGCTGCTGCTGATGATGATGATGATGATACGGACGAGGATGAGTCATGAGGATGAGCATGGGAATGATGATGCTGATGACGATGACGATGGTGATAGTGATGATGACAGTGATGGTGATGGTGATGTTGACGACGATGACTCTGATGATGGCCATGTTGATGGTGGTGGTGATGATCATGGTGACGGTGGTCATCATGAAGAAAGTGATTGTGATGATAATGTTGATCGTTATGATGATATATGTGGTGATGGTTTTGATGATGGCGGTGCCCATGATAGGCAGAATGAGGAGCGGAGGAGAAGGAGGACCAGAGTTCCCCCATGATGTATCAACGATGTCGCAATATACGTAGCCTCCCATTCTAAGCCCCCTATTCACAAGTCCCTACAAGCCTTCATTTTCTTCATAAGAAGCGTCCCATTGAAAGACGAGCACAGTATGGGCCTGACATTTAGTCAAGAGCCACGTTAGAATCACGATCTGGATTGCATCCCGCTGGTGATGTTTCGGGAGTGCGAAAATGCAAGGTCAAGGTCGTACCATTCAATTATATACTCAGCGAGAGCTCGGTTCTGAAAAAGAGCCAGCCTTTCCTGCATGCGTATACGCTGCACAAGCTTCCACGTCTGATCACGACGTTTGGTGGAGTCTGAAGGGAAAGACCCGTTTAAAAACAGGGCTCGCTCTCCTTCCGTCCAGCTGCTGCATGTCGTAAGCTTCCTGGCCGTTGGATTCGAGGACGTCTCCAGCGAAGGCCGCATTTTGACGAGGAGCCGCCCCCATCCTGGGAGTTACTGCGAGCGTGCATGAGGAGTGCTCGCGGTCAGGCGGGCGGGAGCCCCGGTCTGGAGGGGAACAGCCTTCCGTCCTCGTGATTGTTGCGAGCTTGTGCGATGAGCTAGAGAAATTCCGGCGCGGGGTGGAGCTAGTTGGGCCACCCGGCCCGGGCGGACTATGTGGTGACGCGGGGTCGGTTTTTGGAAGATTGTGAGAGATTTGACCGTTCGTTTTGGGAACCTGTATTTTTCGCACCTGTAGTGGGTTATGCCGCGTCTGCCCGTGAAATTCTCAGGTCCGTAGCTGCAGTATTACCATCAAAACACTTGACGGAACCGACTTCGCATAAAACCCAAAAATACATGTTGCAAGTTTTCAAGCTGAGTTTCGAGGAAGCTTCCTCCTCATTATCTAAGCACTTATTTGCGTTTTGAGAGCTCTAGGAGGGGTCCGGCGGTAACCTGGTTGACGTTTTTACCGCCGGCTTCCAGTACCTCGTAGAGCTCTTCGGCATCGATGATCTAGAGGAATTCCGGCGCACAAGCTCCATTTTTCAGAGAAGCCGCACTCCATCTTTGCAGTAAGCGTCACAGAGCAGTTGCGACGAGCGCGCGCGGCGCCAGGCCCCGCGAGACCCATCTTTTGGAACATTGCCCCCCTTGAAATCCTTGCAGAGTCGAGCATCTGATTTCGGGGGCGGCCACGAGGGGGGTGATGACTAGGGTGGGGGGGGGACATCATGGCGTGGGCCATGATCTCTCCCCAGATTTCATGGCGCCTCTTCTTATTTCATTGCGTCCCTGGCCCCCCCCCCTGGGCCGCGCACGTGCCGCCGGCCATGATTTGTGCCCCCCCCCCCCCCCATCTTGGATGCCCTCCCCCTCTTTGGCCGCCCCCGAGCATCTGCTTGAGAAGCCTCCTCCCGAAAAGCTGTGCCACCGTTTCTTAACCAACCTGCCGGAATGCTGCCCCAGCTTCTTGAGCGCGTTTTTGCCCCTCCAGCGTCAACGACAGAAGTTGGCCCAGCCCTGCTTTGAGAGACTTCTGGGCAGCTGGCCCAGATTCCTTGCATGCGGAGGGGGGAGGGATGGGAGGGGAGGGGAGGGGAGGGAGGGAGGGAGTCATCTTCTGGATCATGTTTTCAGCTGTAATTGTTGACGGGTCCGAAGACGAAGGCAGGCGCGGCGCGAAGGTGCGAGCTCTGTTCTGAAGACTGCCACCCCCCTCCGCCCCTGAAAGCTGCTGCAGTATCCGATGGCGAATGTGAGCGCCGCCCAGGCGAGAGCCCCCTTTTGACAACAGCCCCCCCTCGCCCCTTCCCCCTCCTCCCTCGGCCGTTGCAAATCTCAGGCTCCAGACTGAGAAGCGGTGAGGGGAAGTCTCCAGCGAACCGCCCGAACCGCCCTGCCGACACGCTCGGGGGGTGCTAAAGGGCGGGGGGGGGGGCTCTGTGCCGAGAAGAGATGGAGAAGAGTGGGGAGAAGAAGGAGGGGGACGGGCGGCAGGTGTTGCGTGACGGCCTTCTGTTTTTGTGGGGCCTGCTGGTGTCCCTCGCCGCCGTGGCCGGATCCGCCGCAGCTTCCCGGGCAGAGCGCCCTCCAGGAAAGGCGCGTGGGCCCGATTTTGAGGAGCCGTCCCTGCTTCAGGAGACGCTTGCTGTTGTGAAAGGGCCCATGTTGTTTCGGCCAGGCCCGAATCAAATACGGATCGCTCCAGGATGTTCTGGAGCGCTCTATGAGCATTATGGAATTAGCGGTCGCGGTGCCCAGCGCACAGTTGTCGCAGCGCCCGATACATTTGATTGCAGTTTCGTCAGCTCTAAGAGGTCTCTAAGCGTATGTGGGCAGCAGATCGGGACCCTGAGCCGCCCAGCAAGAAGCTGTGTACTCAGCCAGCGCGACTCCGCGCTGACAAAGAGGAGCTCGAAGCGTTCTGGGCGACGAGTCCGATTCATGAGCGTCTTCAGTGAGAGCTCACACTTTACGTACATCCCACGGGGATGCAGATCGAAGGGTTGAAACCCGTGACGCGCTTCAGCTAGTGAAAGCCGCTTGGCGCAAGATGTTTGGCTGCATTCAGTTGTGCCCGCGCGCGCAGGCTCCGTCCCCTCCACGGCTGGGTTAGTCAATGTCTCTGCGGCCCACAGGGTCTCCGTTGTCAACGACAGCCCCGTCGACGGGCAGGTGAGCGCGCCGTTCCATTCCACGGGGTTCCCCAGACGATTCATGAGGGGCCCGCCGGCGTTGCAACAGCGGGGCGCCCTCGAGGCTCAAGAGACGGGGGTCAATGCAAACGGGGGTCAGCCAGGCGCCGGATCTTGCAGGATCCTGCAGGGCCAGGGTCGCACTGACCGGAGCTTGGGTGCCGGATCCTGCAGGATCCTGCAGGATCTTGCGGGGTCCTGCAAGGCCTGACTGGCCCGGGTCTGGATCGACCCGGGTCAGGAGATCCCCGACGCCCCTGCGCAGCGCCGTGTCGAGGTCAGGCCCGAGGCGGAGCGGGCCGTGCCCCGTCCGGCGGCGCGCGCCGACCACCACCTGCCCTGGGTCGTTCTCCGAGGATGTCTCGGGCGCCTGGGGCCTCCAAAGTCGCAGAGCCGTGCGGCGACGGGCAGTCCGCAGAGGTCTCTGGCAGTTCCAGGTCCGTGCGCGGTCTGCCGCCAGACCGTGTTGGGTCCCGCAGCCTCGACGCGGCACGCAGCGGTCGGGAGGAGGTGCGTCACAAGTGCAGTCGGGATGCTGCAGTTGGCACCGCTGGGGCTCAGGAGGGGCCCTGGTTGTCGGGCCGTCCCTTAGACCTGCACGTGGTTCATGTCTGAGTCTTCGAGAGTTCTTTGATGTTTTGGGGGGGCAAGATCCTTTCATTTCTAAGTGTTCTATCCTGGGCCTCTTCCTGGCCACTGGGGGGCCAGGAACAATCAGAAACGGGCAAAATTAGAAATGCGCACGATCAGAAATGAACCACGTGTAGGTCGTGGAGCCTATTCGTGGCCGAGGCTCGCCGCGGCCAGAAATTCCCCTGCGTTCCTTACACGGTGCCCCCGATGGTAGCACGAGGACGGTCAGAACCAAAGGTTGGAGTGCTGGGTGAGGGCGCGTGACCCGTGGACGTCCGTGCTTGGGCAGTCGCAAGCGGCGTCGGGCCGGCATGATCGGCCGAGACGAGAGCGGGCACGGAGAGGCGGGGATGCCAGAACAGCCCTGATGAGGCAAGCATTCGATCCTTAACACAGGAGGCACAGTCAGTCAGACATTTCCGTTGGGCACCTGCTGAGCAGGTGCCCCCAACAGAAATGTCGTATCCCCCAGTTGGGCCTGGGGTCCCACATGAGGTCTCGGGCGTTCTGGGACCCTCGAAGAACGACGATGAGTGTGCCCCAATATTGCTTACAGCAAGATTCCTTATCGTATGCATTTACTCAGAGCGTGAATTACCTACCCCGCTGTCGCTTCCAGGAAAAACCAAGTCATACCACGCGCCTCCTCGTCAAGCGGCCTGACCAGTACAGGCCGTAGTTTGGCATCGCTTGGTATCTCTTGGAAGCGAGGGTGGTCAAACGCGAGGTAGGTTTGTTTTCCCCCTGTTCACTGTACTGTACTTGGCTGTGCTGACTCTCCTCCGTCTCCTCCTTTCCCTCCTCAGTCTCATCCTCCCCCTCCCCCCCCTCCTCTTTGCCCCGCCCCGCCAGATAATGCGCTCCTCGCAGTCCGCCGCCAATCGCTGAGGCGGGGCGGTCTTGCTGCCCTGCTCCTGTGATTGCGCCCAGGCGCCCGGCTAAGGCCAAATTTGATTTTGGCGCCGCGGTGCTCATTTGAATACATCCGCGCGTCTGCGACAAGACAGAGCGCCCGCATGCGTAGCACATCAGCAAAGCATGCCTCGAGGGGGGGGACGAAGTGTAAGGCGAGAAGGACGAGGAGGAGCTCGCTGAGGACGCTGAAGAAAAGGGGGCAAAGGATGAAGAGACCGCCTTTGCTTTCGCCGCCAAGCCCGGCAAAGGATTAGCCAAACGATGTAGCAAGGGCCAGAAGCTGATGGAGCAGCCTCTCCTGCTGCACCGTTGTCGGCATCTGCGTCTCCTCGTCCCCATCTGTTCTGGCAGGTGGGGAATGCCTGCGAGTTAGTGATTCGACTTCATGTGCGTTTCATGCTGACACTCTTTCTTGGGACGGCAACCATCTCACACAAGAAATCGGCCTGCCAGCACGTGCCCCGCAGAGATGGTTTATCCCCGAGTGGCCCCAGGGACCCGCAGACGCTCTGGAACATCTTGGGATGTGCACAAGATCGACGGCACATGTGGCCCTAGATATAAGGTCACGGTGTCCCAACAATCCTGTGTGAGTTGGACCTTCGTTGTGTATCAGCAGCGCCGCACCCTACCTCGTCCTCCTCCCCCTCTTCTCATTGTCTCTCTGTTCTCCGCGTGTTCATTTCGACACACTTCACGCGCTCCGTGGCCCCATGAGGAGCCCCACCTGCGGTGCCAGTGGGCGTGAGTGCATGGTGTGCCCTCCCCCCAACCCGGCACACCCCTCACACACTTCACGGCGCCATTTAATACATATGTTTACGATTACAGTGGGCGCGTCCGCATGGCGTACCCGCTCCCAAATCAGACCAGTTCTCGCACGCTTTTTTATTGTTGCCGTCCACGCGACCTCATACGACCAAAAGCTGCAGAAACAGAGGCCCAACTCTGCAGCGGCGCCACCGGGCAGCGCCACGCGCCGCACGGCCGCGCAGCGAAAGCTGCGCGGGCGCACCACCTGCCTACCCGAGAGGCGGCGAGCGACGGATGGGGCCTGGGGACCCCGAGCTGGGGGCGGAATCCAGCCAGGGGGGGGAGCCCAGGTCGCCAACCCCCGACTACCCCCCCAAGGGCAGGCACGCCCCCACCCGCCTCCGCCAGTTCTGCGGCCTGGTCCCCGGCGGCGCCGACCGCCCCACCAGCTCCACCAGTGGAGGGTGCCCCAGCTATCCCCGAGTCCTTGACGGGGCCCCTGCTATCCAAGCAGGGGGGGGAGCAGACCACTTCTCGCACGTGTCGTGGCCTCCAGGGTGCTCCACCCAATGTTTCAGCGGACGTGACCCCATGGCACAGTGCCGTCCCCAGTGCGGCACAGCTCTCACATGTGCCGCTCCATCTATGGGGCCTCCACATGCGATGCCAGCGGGCGCGACCGCATGGCGGCGCCGCCCTCAGTTCGGCGGGGGGGGTTCGCGGTCGAAAAGCGGAGGAGGGAGGAGGGAGGAGGAGGAGGAGGAGGAGGAGGAGGAGGAGGGAGGAGGACGAGGACGAGGGGGAGGAGCGGGAGGGGGAGGAGGAGGAGGGAGGGGAGGAGGAGGAGGGAGGGAGGGAGGGAGGAGGGAGGAGGGAGGAGGGAGGAGGAGGAGGGGAGGAGGAGGAGAGGAGGGAGGGGAGGGAGGGAGGGGAAGGAGGAGGAGAGGAGGAGGAGGGAGGAGAGGAGGGGAGGAGAGGAGGAGGAGGGAGGGAGGAGGAGGAGGGAGGAGGAGGGAGGAGGGAGGAGGAGGAGGAGGAGAGAGGAGGAGAGAGGAGGGGGAGGGAGGGAGGAGGAGGAAAAAGGGGAAGGAGGGGGAGGAGGAGGCGGAGGAGGGGAGGGGGAGGAGGAGGAGGAGGAGGGAGGAGGAGGGATAAAGAGAAAGAGGGGGAGGGGGGAAGGGGGAGGAGGAGTAGGAGGAGGAGGCGGAGGCGGAGGGGGAGGAGGAGGAGGAGGAAACGGAAGAGGAGGAGGAGGAGGAGGAGGAGGAGTAGGAGGAAGGGTGGGATGGAGGGGGGGAGAGCCCCGACAATGCTGGTTGCGTCGAGCGGAGCGAAGGCAAGACGAGGAGGAGGAGGAGGAAGGGGAAGGAGGAGGAAGAGGAGGAGGAGGAGGAGAAGGAGGAGGGAGGAGGGTACGATCAGGAGAAGGGGGAGGAGAGAGGAAGAGAGGGTGGGGGGAGGACCCTCCTCCTTGTCTTCTGCTTCCCTCTCCTCTTCCGTCTCCTTTTTCCCTCTTCTTCCTCCTCGACCTCCTTGCCCCACCATCCACCACCTTGGGACCTCCTAGGACTTGCCCCGACGACGACGTCGTAAACGGGGGCATTGCCAGATCCAGAGGGAGAAGACGAAAAATCTCTGGCTGGGCCCACGGGTGTTTGTTTCTTCGGGGGGGGTGAGGGGGGGCAGGGCCCCCGTCAGTCAATTCCCCAGTGTACGCGGCCTTGAGACAACGCGCCCCCCCAAACGCAAGCGTGGTTCCCCGAACCTCGACCCTGGAGGTCCCCAGAGCTCTCTGGTGGACTCCGCGGGTCTCCGTCAGGAGGTCGCTGGGGCCCCCTCGGAGGCATTCTTTCGTCTGGGCGCCTCTGCAAGTCTCCTCAGGTTTCTTCGGGGGTCTCCTCCCTTCGGAGGCCTGCGGACGACGACGGCGACGACGACGACGACGGCGGCGGTGTCCCCGATACCTATGAGTAGGTCTCTCGTGGGGGGGGTCCTCGGGTCGTTCCTCCCTTTCCCCGTTTCCCGCTCCCTTCGTGCTTGCCCCGTCCGCAGCCTATGGCTTAGTGTGAGCACCCGAGTTGGGCGCGCTGTTGTCCTATGATAAATACTCTCACGCCTCTCCCGTGGTCCCTCCTCACCAATGCCCGCCGATGGTGCTGACAATGGTAAGCGGAGCGTGGTTGACGGGCAGGGCGAGGAGGGCCAATCGTACGCGAAGATAGGCGTGACCACGAATGTCACACAGACAGGAGAAGAAGCTAGCGAGGCGACCCAGGAGTCGAAGGGCTGGCAGGACTGGTCATGGACCGGTAGATGGTGGCACGGAGAGTGGTCTAGCGACGAATCGAGTGCATGGGGTCGCAGTCGCGGGGACTGGAACGACGCCATGCACTGGAAAAGCACGGACAACTCTTGGGGAGGTGGGCGGGGCCAAGCATCTCAGTCTCGAGACTACGGTGCGCCACCCGCCTGGCTCGGGTTCGAGAACCTGCAGATCTACAAGCTGAACCTGAGCGCATGGGCAGAACGGACAGGCTCTCGTGCTGAGCAGCGTGCCGGCAAGGTCCTAGAGTCTTTACCAGTGGATGTGCAGCAGCGTTTCGTTTCCATCCGGATTCACCTGCAGCAGAGCGACGGTATGAACCAGCTGGTGGAGCACCTGTCGGTGCTCAATGGAGAACGCCCCGGCGACAAAGAGCGAGAGGCGCACAATTCACCATTGTTCAACCACACCATTCGACGAGGAGAGTCGATTACTGATTTCGTGTTGCGCAGAGATCCGGAAGTGGCGGAGGCTCTTTGACACGGCCTCGATCTCCCAGACTCGGTCAAAGCTCGGTTTCTCGAAGAAGGAGCGCAGCTATCATAACAAAATCGCACCAATCTCAAAACTCTGGCGAATAGGCAAGTCTGACCACGACTCAATCAGGAAGGCTCTCTTGATGATCGACGTGCGCAGCAAGATCATCTTCCCCTCGACCTCCGTCGGCAAGACGTACCAAGCAGAGGTGGAGGTGCCCTCGGCCCCCGCGACCCAGGTCGACGTGGAATCGTTCTTTGAGATCGAGGACCCAGGGGACCCATTCAAACTTCCCGACGGCGTGGCAGAATCATTTCTGCAGGCTCTGGGGGAGCAGGATCTTGAGGAGTCAACCCTGATGGTGGTGCTGGCAGCAGTCATCGAGGATCAACTAGGTACCGAGAAGAAGAGAACACGGCAGGAAGCTAGGCGGATGAAGGCGAACAAGAATATCGATAGAGATCTCTGCGACAGGAGACGGGCTACGCGATCGGGTTTCAAGCGTATCACAGGGCGAGATCTTCGCCAGCGGTCGCGGTGCGCCAACTGTGGCGACCGGGGGCACTGGGCAGAGACATGCAAGAAGCCCTTCAAGTCCAAGGAGCAGCGACTGGCGGAAGAAAGGGGAAAAAGGAGGCCGGAGCGAGCAAGTCCTTCTTCTTCTTCTTCTTCTTCCACAACGACGACGACAACGAGGGCCATTTCGGATACGTGTCGTTCGACCTGAACGTGATGGAGATTATGATCACGGACTGGAGCGGGCTCATTTAGACGGTGAAGGATACCCAGGTGCCGTCTCTGAAGAACATGATGGAGCACGCTTTGGTGGACATGGCCGCATGACAGGCTCTTATTGGGCGCGTGGATCTCCAGCTATTTTTACTCGTGCAGGCCTTCGAGAGCAAGGGCTACCGGGTTCCGTTCAAGTTCGAGGAGCTCCCGGGCACGACGGCATCGGGGATCGGAGGCACCACGAAGCCTGCGGGCAAGGCGTGGGTGCCTGTGTCGATAGCAGGGTGCGGCATAGTCAAGTTCTTGATTCTAGAGGGTCGCTGTCCACCGCTGCTCCCGGCGAGGTTGCTGGACGCGATGGGCTGCGTGGTGGATCTTCGCGCCAATCTGATGATCGTGGACGGCGTCGACGGCGAGAGGATCGCGCGCCCCCTGCTGCGCTCCCCCTCGGGCCACCGGTCGATCTCCCTCATCTGGCGCGAGCCGAAGGATTTCAAGATCGACGACGACGCGCTGGCGCGCCTGCCAGTGGAGTCCAGGAGCTGCCGCCTTGAGGACCGCAGGGGCGAGGGCAGCGAGGGGAAGTTCGCGAGCGTGTGTGACCGGCCAGGTCAGGCAGCTTTTCTCTCCTCTCCTTCCTCCTCTAGGGTCGTATTGGGACCGTCCCCAGAGGCCTCTCCGGACACCA